GAGCAGAAGCCCAGAGCCCCAGCAGCGATGCCTGTACTCCACATTCCTACTGACAGCCAGCCTGCCTAGGGCCCCATCCTGCCACTCACTGTGAGACATGGAGCCCCAGTCATGTCCCTGAACCCTGACACCATCATCTTAGCGGGTGAAGGTCTTGCCCATCTTGATGGAGCACCGAGGCCCTGCACGGGGCGATGCATGCTGTCAGCTTCCACCCTCTTCCTGCCATCTCCACCTGTTCTTACCCCGGCTGCCCCTCACCCTGAGCCAGAGCCAGGCTCACCAGCCCACGGGAATAAATCCAAGACAGAGAGGCACAAAACAGGAGGCACAGAATCCAGTGATTCCAGCGCCACCCCTGTCTCGACCCCGACAAGGTGGTGTCTGTTCCCCTGTCTCCTCCCACTCTGTGGGGGGACAGAGCTGCTGCCTGGCCCTCGGAGCTGTACCAGGCAACAAGCAGAGCTTGGGCGTGTTCTGGACTCGGATGGCCCTGGGTTCAGCGGCCTGAACACTGCAACAGAACTGTGTGGCTTCGGGATGCTCCTGAGCCCCTCTGGGCATCAGTGTCCCCCTCCCTAAAGTGGGCAGGAATGATCGCACTCACGTGGGCTGGCCTCAGAACCCAGTCACAGCCTGCTTGGGGAGCAGAAGCTGCTGCTGGGTACTTAGTCCTCGCTGCCAGGGACCTGGCCACGGGAAGGTTGCTGGGCTCCGGGGTGCGGGCTCGGAGGGAGGCTCCGAGGCCCACGGGGCTCCTCTGACTTTCAGCTGACGAGTGGGTCCCCGCTAACAAGGAGCCGGTGGAGCGCTGCGGCTTCACGGTCAAGGATCTCCCCACGGGGGCCAGGATCCTCTTCCGGGTCGTCGGGATCAACATTGCGGGTCGCAGCGAGCCGGCCACGCTGTTGCAGCCGGTCACCATCCGGGAGATTGTGGGTGAGTGCCCTCACCCAGCTTTGGTGGTCTGGTCTGGTTCAGGCCCCGCGCTGAGCCCGGTGTCTATGCTACAGAGCAACCCAAGATCCGCCTCCCCCGCCACCTGCGCCAGACCTACATCCGCAAAGTGGGGGAGCCGGTCAACCTGGTGATCCCCTTCCAGGTACTGCGGGGTCAGGGCCAGGTCGGGGTGGGTCAGGGCCTGGTCGGCTCCGCAGAGCCTCCTGACCTCGCCGCCCGACCCCCAGGGCAAACCACGGCCCCAGGTAGTGTGGACGAAGGGCGGGGCCCCCGTGGACACCTCCCGCGTGCACGTGCGCACCAGCGACTTGGACACCATCTTCTTCGTGCGCCAAGCAGCCCGCTCCGACTCAGGAGAGTATGAGCTGAGTGTGCAGATCGAGAACATGAAGGACACGGCCACCATCCGAATCCGCGTCGTGGGTGTGCAGCCTGGCCGGGAGCAGGGAGGATGGAGGGGGTGGGGCCAGGGCGGAGATGGGCGGGGATAAGGACGAAGATGGGTTGGGCTAGGGACAGGATGGGCGGGACTAGGGACAAGGGCATGTGTCCAAAGATGAGGATGGGTGGGGCCATGGGCAGAGGGTGGGGCCAGGGATAAAGGGGTGGAGCCAGGGACAGAGAGGTGGGGCCAGGGATGGAGAGGGTTCTTGTCTGAAAGGGCATGGTCAGAGGCAGGGTCATTGGAAGTGGTCACATTTGGGGCGGGGGTCCAGGAAGGGCAGAAGGCAAGAGGTTTGGGGTGTAAGCTGCAAATGAGGCAACAAGGTGAGGCACTGGAGGACGCAGGGCGTAGGCCTGAGGTGTCAGAGTCTGAAGTGTGGTGAGGGACCCCGGGCTGGTGTGTGACAACCCCTCTTCCTCCAGAAAAGGCTGGGCCCCCGCAGAATGTGATGGTGAAGGAGGTGTGGGGCACCAATGCGCTGGTAGAGTGGCAGCCGCCCAAAGACGACGGGAACAGTGAGGTCACGGGGTATTTTGTGCAGAAAGCTGACAAGAAGACCATGGTGAGTGGCCAGGGACCACTGGCTGAGAGGGCCAGGGTGCTGGTGAGCCCGCTTCATGCTGTGAGAGTACACCAAGCTCATTCTTCAGTACCACACAAAAAAGAATACCCTGTCCCCATCAGCAATCTCCCTCCCACCCCACCCCAATCCCCAGCAAGGGTCACTTTGCCTTCTGTCTGTGTGGATTTGCTGACTGGACACTTCCTCTAAATAGAAGCAGAGAGTATGTGCTGTGTGTGTCTAGCTTGTGTCCCAGCTGCCACCCTTTTCAGAGCTGAGTAATATTCTTTTATGCTGTTAAACTACATTTTGTTCCTCTACTCATCCCTTGACGAATATTTGGGTGGTTCCTCCCTGTTGGAAAACGCTGCCATGCATGACAGGCTTCTGCATACGACACTTTGTATCTGTCCCCTTTGTGTCCTGTCCCCACACCAGGAATGGTTCAATGTCTATGAACACAATCGCCACACCAGCTGCACCGTGTCCGACCTCATTGTGGGCAATGAGTACTACTTCCGCGTGTTCAGTGAGAACTACTGTGGGCTCAGTGACTCGCCTGGGGTCTCCAAGAACACAGCCCACATCCTAAAAAAAGGTGCTGCCTCTTCCCCCTGGGCCAGTCACTTCTGTGGCTCTGCACTGGGTCCAGTGGGAGCTCTGAGCCTTGCCTCTGCCCCGGACTCCAGTTGCTGGCATCTGGATGGGCTGGAAGCAGCAGGGTCTCTTGGCTGGCTAGTTCGGGGGCATCTTCCATTCACCCCCTGATGGGTGTATCCTCTGCACCAGGCATCACCCTCAAGCCACTAGAGTACAAGGAACACGACTTCCGGATGGCTCCCAAGTTCCTGACGCCCCTCATTGACCGGGTGGTCGTAGCCGGCTACTCTGCGGCTCTCAACTGTGCCATCAGAGGCAACCCAAAGGTACCAAGGTGGTGGCCCATTGGAGTGGCATGTGTGGGACTCGGGGAGAAACTGGCATGACAACCGAGCCCAGCACACTGCCTCCTCCTCCTGGCATCCTCTAGTCTCAGCAGACTTGCTCACTTTAACCCACTTCCTGCTTCTCTCCTTGGCCTCAGCCCAAGCTTAGACAATGGTGTCCTGTCTTCCTGCCAGGCAGTAGCTCCTCCAGGCAGCCTGACCTCTGAGGAGAGACACAGTGTCTCTTGTCCTGTTCAAGGACAGACAGGAGTGCCTTGGAAACAGAAACAGCAGGGGTGGGAGGATCTGGACTGGGTGGGTCTCCAGATTCCCCAGGGCAGGTGGGAGGCAAGCAGGCACTGCAGGAAAGGTGTGCTGGGAGAGACAGGTGCCCAGGTGCTGAGGCTCCCTCTCTGCCCAGGCCCGGGTCCCCCACTGAGCTGCCCTTTGCTCCCCCCCCCCCCCCCCGCTCCAGCCGAAAGTGATGTGGATGAAGAACAAGATGGAGATCGGTGAGGACCCCAAGTTCCTGATGACCAACCACCAGGGGGTCCTCACGCTCAACATCCGAAGGCCTTCACCCTTTGACTCAGGCACCTACTCCTGCCGTGCCGTTAACGAGCTGGGGGAGGCGCTGGCCGAGTGCAAGCTGGATGTGCGAGGTGAGGGCCAGGCCCGGCCTGGGAGGACGGTGGCATGGGCCCCAGTCCTGGGCAGGCACAGGTGCATGGCACAGGCCTCCCTGTTAGCAGAGGGAAAGCAAACATGAATGAAAGTGGAGCCCAGGACCCTGGGACCCTGGGAGCCTAGGAGAAGCCTCCTCCTGCATAGCCAGCCCCAGCTCTGCACTTGTTTTGAGATGGGGGTCTCACTGTGTATTCAGGGTGTTCTTCAACTGTGTAGTCCAGACTATCAGAATGTAGTCCAAGGAGTCATACTCAGACAGTCCTCCTGCCTCAGCCTCCCGAGGACTGGGATTATAGGCCTACACCACCACACCCAGTCTGTTCTCTGGCTCTCAGCTCTGGCCCCTGCTTCCCCTTTGTCCAAGAACGCTCTTTCCAGCTTCCTTGGTCTCCCTGCCTCCAGCCCTTCCTTCCTGTCCATCTGCTCATGGCCTTAGATGGGGTATCTGGTCCACAGTGGGCCTGGTGCTCCCTGATCACAGCCCTCCTGGGCTCCTGGTACCCCAGATCTCCAGCCCAGGGCCTCATGGTCATGACATCCACTTGGGTGTCCTGGTCCCTACTTGATTGTGACCTCTGGCCCCCTCAGATGTCTCTGTCCCTGGTAACACCCCAGTAGACAGCAGAGACTGCAGATCTCCCTCCAGAGGGGTTCCGAAGGGAGCTCCAGGTCTAAATGACTCCTTTTAGGTCACTCTGCTTCCCAGCTGCCTCAGTGTCTAAAAATACGCTGACCCCCAGTCATGCCCTGAGTCTGCTCAAAGCATCCCCCCATGGGGTGAGCAACTACTCGTAGCCATCAGCCAGTCAGAGCAGTTTTGGGCAGAAAATGACAGTGGTCAACTTAGTGAGGCCCTGTCTCAAAAAATAAACCCGGTGTGGTGGTGCACATCTGTGTTCCTAACACCCAGAAGACCGAGGCAGGAGGATTGCTACAAGCTTGAGGCTGGCCTGGGCTACACAGTGAGTTCAAGGCTAGCTTGAACTGCATAGTGAGACCCTGTCTCAGAAAACTAAGGGCGGATGGGGTGGGGTGGGGTGGCTCTGGAGAGGTACTGGAGGGAAAGGGGCCAGCAGAGGGTCTAGGCAGCTCCGGGAACCACAGCCCAGCTCACCAACTCTTTTTCCCTCCCATCCCCTCCCACAGTGCCGCAGTGAAACTGTCCCCCACCTGCCAAGATGACTGAGCCAAGCCTCCAGCCCCAGAGCACTCTGGACTGTGCCTTTGTTTCCCAAGTTGTCACTGACAACTAAACAGTGCTGCTTAGACTACGGTGGCCTGTATGGTTTCCTTGCCTGTAACTCCCTTCCCCCCTCCAGCCGGGGCTGGTCACCCTGGGGTGCGTGAGGGGGCAGTCAGGGCAGGGCAGGCACCACCGCTAGGCTGCTGCAATGAAACAGGCCATGCTGGGGCCACCATCTTGGAACAGTAATTTTAGTGGGGCAACCATGTTGTGACAACTGCGAAGCTTCAGAGAGGAACCCCAGGTCCTGTTTCCAAGGTGGGGGAAAGGGGGACAGCTTAATGGTGAGCACAATCTAGGGGGCACCACAGGGCAGACTGGGCAGGCTGTGTGCTTCGGGGACCCTGGGAACGACTGGCGCCAGGTCTGCTGGGTGCATGGAGATCTGGACTCGGCCAAGACACTCAGGCAGTCTCTGCCTGGGGAAGGGGAGCTGCTGGCGCAACGCCTCTGAGCTGGCTGCTGTGCTTAAGCGGCGATCTTTATTTGTGTTAATGATCTGGTGCATGGCCCGGGTCAGGGCTGTGAGCTTGGTCCAGGCAGTGTCACAGTCCCCAGAGCTCCGAGGTCTGTGGATCAAGCCTGGCTTCTCTGGCCTGCAGCTGGGTGGGCAAGAGTGTCTCAAAGCCCGGCTGCACAGGGCTCCCAGTGGGCAGGGCAGGGCAGGGCTGGCCTCGAGCTGCCCGAAGGCAAGGGCCCAGGGTCTCCAGAGAAAGAAGACCCCCACGTTTCAGCTCCCCATCTTCCAGAGCGCCCCCACCTCCCCCTCCTTGGTCTTCCAGGGAGCCAAACCGTAGCCTGACCTCCCAGCTAACTCTCTGGGATGCATCACAAAGATCTAGGACCCCGCTTATGAACCCAGCAGGAAGGCAGGGGGTGTGTGGGAGTCGCTCTACCCTCACACCCAGGTGTCCCCCCATCCCTCCCGGCCTCCCCTACCCACTTACTCCTCCTCCCCTCACCTGGTCCCGCCAGTCCCTCTCCTGCGCCTCCGGGTCCTCAATTGTCTCCTCATCCCAGCCCTCGTCCTCCGACTCCTCCTGCGTGAAGGGCACGGCGCCCTGGCCCGCGTGGTAACGCAGGCGGTAGAGCAGCCGCACCCACTGGCCAAACTCCAGGTGCCGGGTCTCAGCCGGCGCCCGCAGTTGCAGGTAGAAGGCACGGCCGGTGCAGAACTTGACCTTGAGCTGCTGGCGGCTCTCGTCGTGCACGAAGAGCTCAACGAACTGCAGGGGGAACAGCCTGGGCGGCAGGAGGGGGGCCTCAGAGCGGGGGCCTCAGGGCGGGGGGGGCGGTCCCCGCCTGCGCCCTGCCCTCTGCCTTCCCCGTTGTGGTGGCCTCTCAAATCCAGCCACCAAGGACTTTTAACTCCACCACCATCCCTGGGCGCGACCCTGGGTCCCCAAGGGGTCACTAGGGGGCGCCGGCGAGCACAGCGCCTCTCTGTTCCTGGGGCAAAGCTATCTCCTCTGCACCTTCCTCAGGTGGGGCCTTCTCTGTCTTCCCCTGGCCTGTTGATTTCTTGAAGCACTGAGCTATTTTCCTTTTTTCATTTTTTCCGCAATGAACTATTTTCCCAGCCCATCTTTATTTTTTGTTCTGAGATAGAGTCTCACTAAGCAAGTTGCCCAGGCTGGGCTCAAACTCGGCATTCACGACGCTGCCCTCTCTGCTGTGTCCACACAGATGTCAACCCGGCTGACCAATGGTCCCTGCCCTGTCTGCCTTCCTGGAGTGGGAGCTCACTGGGGCAGGGTTAGTCCAGGGCTGGTTCCCTTGCACCCTGTGCTGACACTAGCAGGGGCTCAATGGCTGCATGGTACATATTTGAATACACAAATCACTCAGGCTCCCAGCTGGGTCCAAGATCTAGAGAGGGTAGGGAACTTGGCCCAGGCCATACAGCTGGCACTGGGACCCAAGTCTTGTGTCCTTATCCACAGCAGGGGAGGCTACCTGACTGCCTGTAGCCCAGAAATAGGACATCTGCAAAGGAGCTGGCTGACCTCACACCGGAGCCCAGAGGTCTCTGCCACACTGCCTGTGACCCCAAGTCCACCAATGGGCAACTGGATTGTGTCCGTTGAGAAAAGAGTGGCAGCTGCCACTGGCAGTGCTTGCTCAGTCCCAGCTGCTCTGACACTTCCTCAGTTTACCCCCATGGTCTGTGAAGGCGGATGTGCTACTTGTCCCCATTTTCCAGATGAGGAAACTAAGGCACAGAGAGGGAGCCTAGTTAAAGGCAGACTGTTCAAGGACATCCCTACTGCATGTGACAAAGTTCTGTTGAGGGTGAATGTCCTGCAGCCCACTGGAAGTGCCATCCACAAGAAGTGGCTCTGGCTGGTGTTGATGAAGCATACAGAGCAAAGGAGGTATATAGTGTGTACCCCACTTCCGTCCCAAAGCACAGGTGGTGCCTATGCATGGGTGGCGCCTATGTGCGTCTGTCATCACCACCTGGGCTTTGCTCAGGAGGCCCCGGGAGACCAGAGGCGGGACTGCACATGTGTCTTGAGGTTGTTTGCCAGGCCAGCACCAAGGATTTTCTTGGGGGGGGGAGTTCTACCCATTTAGGGAGGGGTTTAGGCTGCTGCAGATTACCACAGGTCAAAGTCACCCCTCAGCACATTGTTAGTGCTCTCCTAACTGCTGTGATGGGTCAGACACAGATGGGTGAGAGCCACTAGGGGGACACATTAGCATCTGAAAAGTTTAAAACATGTCAAAATATTTCATTCCTCCATCTCTCTCCTCCCTTCCTTTCCTTCCTTCCTGTCTCTCCCTCGGTGTCATTAACTCTGATTAAGTCAGAAAAGTGCAGGCTCCTGGGAGAACATATCTGTGTCCCCATCAAAAGCTGTAAATGTTCCTACACTTGCAGCTGGAGTTGGGGACAGGAACCCAGGACAAGAAGAAGTGTGTCTGAGCCATATCAGCTTGGTGCTTCAGAGTGTTTCCCATCAGTTGTGTCACTTTTCCAGTAAGAAAAGAGGATTCTGGGAAATTTTTGTCTTTGAGAAGCCCCTGGCTCTAAACTCTGCCAGTCTACCTCTGATCTGCTAGGGAACTGGGGTAACTGGTTCCCCTCTCTGAGCCTCACTTTCTCTCTCTGGAAGATGGGGCAAAATAGCCCCATGACACTAGAATACAAGGTGAGAGATGAGCTTATGAGCAATGCTCTAAAGTCACTGTCCCAATCCCAGCAGGTGGCACTGAGCACAGTCCTCCCCCTGTATCCTCCAGGCCCTGATTTCTGGCCCCTGTGGACTGCCCTGTTATTGTATTCCCGGGCAGTCAGCAGCCAGAGGAGGTTGGCAGCAGCTATTGACCCTGACCCTGGGTGAGAGGATGCTGTGTGTGTGGGGGGGTGGTTCGGGTGCCAGAACTAGAGAGGAGGTTTTGCAGGAGGGCAGTCACCCGAGAAGCTCCTGACATCCGTTCTCCTTGGTAGGGCCAGCCAGCAGCAACAGGTCTGGGAGTTCCAGGGCTGGACTGGAGGCTGCCACCCCCATGGTGACTGTATTGGCGACTTCTCCAAACCGGGTCACCTGGGGCCAGAGGTCAGAGGTCAGACTAAAAAATTGGACAGGGATCAGAGGTCAGGAATCTTTTGGGTAAAGAAAATCGCACACAAGGGAGTTAAGATTCAGGTTAGAGTAAGCTACTGTGGGGTTAAAGGAATAGAATCTTGGTGTGAAATCAGGGAAACTACTGCAAAGATCTCAGAGGCCAGGTTTCATACAGAAGCTAAAAACGCTGGAAATGCGTGGGTCAGAGGTCACTAGGAGATAGGTCATGGGAGAACGTCCAGGGTAGGGAGAGGGTGAAGGTCGGGCCCAGGCTTCGGGGCTGAGGTCCCAGAGCTCCACACCTGCACGAAGTTGCTCTCAAAAATTGTGAAGTCTCGTAGCTGGTCGAACTCGCCGCTCAGGAGGTGGCGCTGGAGCCATCCGGGGCCTTCCTGGGCACAAGCTGGATCCAGATGGCATCCTAGACAGAGGAAGTTCGGGACTCAGTCCCAGGGGCGGGACCCAGGTCCCCCAGCAGGCCGGGCCGGGGCGGCAAAGGGCGGGGCAGAGTTTATCAGCTGCCTCCCTCTCTGGCCCTACACCCTTCTTGTACCCTCGCTGGTTCCTGCACCAAGTACAACCTCTTCTGGCTTGGGTCCGCCTCTCACCTGCCAGCCCACTTGATCCCATCTCACCCTCTTACACTCGTGCGCCCCATAGTCGCAACGCCCCGCCCCTTGGTGGGCACAGAGGGAGGAGCTGCGGGAGAAAAAAAGGGCGGCAACCCCGCGTAAGGTGACATCATAACGAGGCGGGCCAGGTTTTGATGACATCACAGTGGACGCCGTGGTAGTAACGTCACTGGAAGGACGGGCGTGGCATGGGAGTCCGGGGTGGGGGGGAAGAGGCTCTAGCTATACAGGCGGCCGCTCTCCGACTCCCGGCACCCACTGAGACTGGGTTCAATGCGCAGGCGCAGGGCCCAGCGCACGCGCGCGAGGGTGCCCCGGGTCTCCCGGCGTGCACCGTGGTGTAGGTTTCTAGGTGGTGGGAAGGCGTCGTAATGGCGGCGGCCGGCGCGGGGGCACCCCGGTTGCTCCTCCTTTTACTGATAGTGGCAGCAGCGCCCAGCCGGGCCAGGGGCAGCAGCTGCCGGGCTGGAGCCGCTACGCGGGGGGTGAGTGCTCATTAGCTCTGCGTTGAGGACGGAGCCGACGGAAGTCGTAGGTCTAGGTGAATTAAGGTGGCGACAAGGTTGAGCAGAATAGAGAGGGTAGAGGGAGGCGAGAGAAGCATGGAAACGCGGGTGCAAGAGGCGCCTGCCCGGGTGCGAGTCCGCGTGGAAAGCGGAGCGGGGCTTGATAGAACCTGGCGCCCAGTTGTCAAGTGCGATGGGAAAGGGGCGGCGCCAGTGGACAGGCGGTGGCAAGGTCCCTCTTACTAGAACGTGAGGGGCTGTCTGTGTGACTATTGGTGAGGGCGTGGCTCGGGTGGGATCCTGGGGCTCAGGCGTGGGGGACACTGGAGTGGTTGGAGAGTTTTATATTCTGGCCAGGCGGGAGAGAACCGTGTCGCGCAGGTGCGTGGGCGTAAGGAGGTGGAGGATGCAGAGTGGGAGAAAGGTAAAGGCAAAGAAAAAGGAAAGCGTAGACTCTTGAGTGTATTGGCGTGAGGGGAACTGAGACGGCCGTTGGACTGTTGAGGTCTTTAAAGTGAAAGCAAGGACTTTGGCATTATTAGCATGCTAGCATGCCAGGGAAGCCCCAAGAGAGGGAGAATAGCCGTTAACTCGCAAATATTATTAAGCCGTGAGGTGCAGAAGCTACCTAGGCATAGTCAGGAGGAAAACTCATAAAGCATGTTTAGGATTTCGCTTTCTAGAACCTGGGAAACCAAGTCAGGAGTATTCATGGGTGGTCCCAGTGGAATGGGGGCAAACGTGATTGATCGGTGTGAGGCTTAATATGACTCTTTATCCAGTCCGCCTCATGTCCTCACCCAGGCCTCATCTGTCCTGCAGGTTGGGGCCGAAGGCCATGAGGGCGAGAGCTGCGGTACGGTGGGGCTACTGCTGGAGCACTCCTTTGAGATCGGTGAGTCCCTAGCACACCTGCTGCACAGTGAGCTGGGCAGGAGACTGGCCTTGCCAGGGAGAGGAGGGGGGACACGGCCAAAGGGCGACCTTGCCTTTAAATGTCCCCAGACCTGTAGGACAAACACCAGCCTCAGATGGTGTGGAAGTAATGATTTCAGGGCAGATTTTTCTGACCATTGCCACCTGTCCTGCACTAGTGGTTGGGGAGTTTTGTGTTACCTCAGGACAGTCATGCAAGGTTGTAGGAATAAGCCCGATTTTCCACAAGAGGAGTCAGGTTCAGTGAGCCCATTCAGTGTCCTTTGGTCAGTGAGTGGCAGAGCTGGAGCCAGGTCCCAAGCCCAACACAAACAGCAGTGACAGGTAGGCTCGGAGCCAGCTGTCAGCCTACCCAGGCTGCCCAGTAATGGAGCAAAGGCCCGGCCTAGTACAGTGAAGCTGGAGTCACGCGTCAGACCCTGGTCAGCCAGAGGAAACTGACACTCACAGAAGCTGTGTGACTGACTGTCCCTGGGCCACTTGGCAAGGTCAGGGTGCCCATTGGGAGCTTTGGGGTTAATGTATCAACCTTGCTGGCTTGGGAAGCAGGAGAGAGGGGTGTGATAGGGGTGTCCCCAGGGTGCACGTGGGAAACTGGGGGTTCAGGATGGAGCAGCCTCCTAGTCCTTCTACCAGAGGGCAGGCCGGGGTTTGAATCTAGGTCTCCTAGTCCCTACCAGGGTTATAGGGTGTGACAGGGTGGCCACTGAGTTCATCTCCACAGATGACACTGCCCAATTCCGGAAGCGGGGCTCACTGTTGTGGAACCAGCAGGATGGCACCTTGTCCCTGTCACAGCGGCAGCTCAATGAAGAGGAGCGGGGCCGACTTCGGGTGAGCCCAGAGCTGGGCTGGGCTTGGGGAATGTCCAACAGTTTTTCCAGCTGTCCACTGTGGCCCTCTCTGGCCCTCCTCCAAGTTCAGGTGGGATCCCAGCACCTCCTGGTGCCGTTTTACTCCCTGGCCCCACAGCCATTCCAGGCGACATGGTGGCTTGGTTAGCCTTTGTGTTGGCTGTGCTGTGCGTATGCCAGGGCCTCACCCAGGCTGCCTGTGCCTGCCCATAGCACATCTCTCGCCCTTGGGTCTCCCTCCTCAGCTCCTCTCAGCCTTCAGACTCAGCCGGGATTTCTCCAGTCATTTAAGCCGAGTTTGATGTGAAGGGAAAAGAGCCTCAGGATGGCTGTGGTTAGACAAGAGGCCCCCTCTGTTTCTTGGCTCTGTTGTTCCCCCACAAAATCTGGCATAGTTCAGTCCCAGCCTACTCCTGTGGGCACATGGTGTCCTCCCTGGGACGAGATCAGGGCGAGGCCTGTCCTGAGCAGCCCTGCTGCATGGCTTCCTTGGGATTTGCCATCCTAGCTGCCCCCAAAGAGAACTGACTGCTCGTGTAACTTAGGAATCTGGGTGTGGAGCAGTGCCAGGTGGGGTGGCCTAGTGGGCAGAGCAGCAGACCATGGGATCTGGGGTGCGGAGTGGGTAAGGCTGGGGAAGGGCCTTCTTGATGGAGGCCCAGTGGCATTGGGCACTGTCCCCTTTATGGTGCCCTCTCTCATGTACCCCACAGGATGTGGCAGCCTTGAATGGCCTGTACCGGGTACGGGTCCCCAGACGGCCCGGGGCCCTTGACAGTGCAGAGGCTGGTGGCTATGTCTCTTCTTTTGTCCCTGCGGTGAGTCAGTGACAGAGACCCTCTTCTGCCCTCCATCTCTCAGCCTCCTCAGTACTGAGCTCCTGGCCGTTCCTGGCTGTGTGGAGAGCAGGAGGCTGCAGGCCTGGCCTGGCCTTGGGGGGGTGGCTCTGGGGGCTCAGTCTGACATGGGTGCTTTCAGCGGGAGGCAGGGAGCCAAAAGAGGCTTTGACAGATGCTTTGGGGACCCTGGCCCCAACTCCTTCCACCTGCAGTGCTCCCTGGTGGAGTCGCACCTCTCTGACCAGCTGACCCTGCACGTGGACGTGGCCGGCAATGTGGTAGGGGTGTCTGTGGTGACATATCCTGGAGGATGCCGGGGCCATGAGGTGGAGGACGTGGACCTGGAGCTGTTTAACACCTCCGTACGGCTGCGGCCGCCGGGTACCGCCCCGGGGTGAGTGTGGAAGGAGGGCTGAGCGCAGGCGCTGCTGTCCTCCCCGGCCCTGGACTCCAGCCCCACCGTTTTTCCTCACCCCAGCCCTGAGACGGCGGCCTTCATCGAGCGCCTGGAGATGGAGCAGGCCCAGAAGGCCAAGAACCCCCAGGAGCAGAAGTCCTTCTTCGCCAAATATGTGAGTGGGTGCCCCAGCCTCCCGTCTTCATCACAAGCCCCGCCCAGCTGCTCGGTCTCCTCCATCCACACCCTTCGCACATCTGCCCCTCATGTTCCCATCTGGTGCCCAGGTCAAGTCCCCTGGGTGGAGGCACCGAGGGCCAGGGTCCCCTCCCAGGCTGACTGATGAGAGTCATTCCGGAGTTGGGGGACCTAGGGGTGCGAATATTTGTGGGCTCAGCGAGGAATGGCCAAGCAGGGACAGAGACAGGCTGCTGGCCTCACCTGGCCTGGCCTCTGGGAGGCAGGACAGTAGGAGGCGCAGAGGAAGGGGCCCAGGAGGCTGGAGATCCATGCCTGGTCACCTGAGGGTCAGCAAGGCCCAGCTAGCCCGGGAAGCCCACTCGTGTTCTGCGCAGCCCACCAGCTGAGCTGTGGTGAGCTGAGGCCCAGAGAGGCCCTGCCACTTGTTTGAGGGCATCAGGCCACAGGAGCCCGCTGACCCGCACCCCTCCCTCCTCAGTGGCACCTCATCCTGGGGGGGGCCGTGTTGCTCACGGCCCTGCGTCCTGCTGCCCCGGGGCCCACGCCGCCGCCACAGGAGGCCTGAGTGAGGATGGAGACCCCTTCCCGCCTCTGCCCCACCCGCCTGTAGTGATGTAGGGGACTTGGGGCCCCCCAACGCGGCCCCCTCGTGCCGGCCTCCTCCTGGGCAGAGCAGTTCCACACTCACCTCCCTCTGTCTTTCTGTGTCCATATGTCTGTCCTCCGACTCCGGCGCCTGCAGTGGATGTACATCATTCCCGTGGTCCTGTTCCTCATGATGTCAGGAGCTCCAGATGCTGGTGGCCAGGGCGGGGGCGGGGGTGGGGGCGGGGGTGGGGGCAGTAGCCGGTGACCGGCTTGTCCTCTTTTGCCCCCAAGAGTCTTTGCTACCCAGAGTCCTCCATGTCCCTGGTCATCCCAGGGTTGTAGTCCTGCTGTCTCCCCATCCCAGGAGGATAGAAGGACACCCCTCCTGGAAGCCACTGTCTTCCCCAGTCTCCCTTCCTGTTGACGGAGGTCTGGTGGAGTTGAGGTGCTCCACCCCACAGTCCCATCTCAGCCCCTGGGCTCCCTTTGCCTTCAAGCTGGAGCCCAGCTCCCTCTTGCCCCTGCGCCTGCCTGGCTGCCCTAGTCCTGCAGCTGGAGCACTCTGGCTGTTCTCCAGCCACCGTGCCTTTACCCACGCCTGCGCCCCCAGCCCACCATGGCCTGTCGCCTTGCTGGACACTGGACTGGGCCCTAGGCCTCCTGCCAGCTTCCTTTGAGGGTGCCCTGGCCTCCCCACTGAGGACGTGGAGCCCTGATTTCCCCGCCTTGCAGCGCTGCTCCCTAGCCTGTGCCCCACCCCAGTCCGCCCGCAGCAGGTGAGGCACCTGTTGTCCCCCTGCAGCTGGTGGAGTCCGGGGCCAGGGAATGTAAATAGAGTCCCTTCTGCGTCCTTCATGCCACAATGGCCGGCCCCGTGTAGCGCCAGAGTGGAACTGCGCCCTGACTGGTTTCTCCTGCATCTGGTTAAGAATATCCACAGGATACAGCAGCACATACATTCTGTGAACGTCCAGCTTTGGGTACCAGGAATTGAACTCATGACCTTGCGCCTGCCAGGCCAGTGCTGTGCCACGGAACTGTATTCCCACCCAGGAGACTCCAACTGCTGACAGCCTAGAGTGAGGGCTGCATGGACTCCGCTTACCATGTTACTCTACTCGGAGACAGGAGCAGTGGCTGGTGCTGGCCCTGCATTGGTGTGGCTGTGTTGGGTAGCAGCTGATTAAACTGTTCCCAGACACCCAGCTGTGTGCCTGCATCTGGCTTTGTGGGGCTGTGGACAGTACTGCAGTGAACGAGGTTGTCCATTGTGGTGACCTCAGAATAGTTCATGCAGGACACAGGACGGGGGTGTTGCTGTGTCGCTGAGGGAGGTGGTTCAGCTTGGTGGTGCCTCCTCACAGCTTGGCGCTCAGCAGCAGGAGTGGGGTACACTGCGGCAAGTCATCAGGCACACGTGTCCTCCCTGCATGGCACAAGGACGGATGTGTGCTCTGTCCACACTCATGATGGAAGGTGTCACTGCCTGGAACTGTGGCCCCTGCTACCCCATAGGCCACTTGCCTTGGCCTGGTTCCCCTCTGACAGCCTCACTAGCAGACAGCTCAGACTTGGGGCCTGGGCCAGGCTGGGAGGGTGGAAAACTGTCCCACCATCACTGTGTGGCTGGGTCCCTCCATTTCCAACAGCAGGGCTGTTGGGGTTCTCGAGGGACCCTTGTGGGCATTGTGTGCTTCTGCTTTTGGGCAGAGGCGCATGGGGTTGAACCACACTGGCCTGCATGGGCAGCCCTTGCTTTATCTGTCCTGGGTAGGGGTGCACCGGATGGCTAAGGCTCCGGGCCATGTCCAGATCTGCGGTCCTCCTGTTTGCTTTGCACATGGGTCCCGTCTCGATCGCCCAGGTCAGCCCACGAGAGCCTTGGTCCTCAGCCCCCAGCCCAGTTGCCAGTGGCCATGCCCAGCTGCTTGCAAGGCCGAGTTGCTTCATTAGGGCAGGCTGAGCGCTGACTCCAGCGCTTCCAAGCCAGTACTTGCTCTGCCTCGTACTCCAGTCTGGCTTCCCTGGGTCTCTGTCCTGATTAAACTTCTCTCCCAGTTCTCACCTGCCTTGGGAGAATGCGTTCACTGTGATTTCTCAGGCCAGGAGTGGGGAGCCAAGGCATAATAGTCACAGCTGCGCTGGCCCCTGGCCCCTGCTCCATTTCCTGCTGGAGGCTGCCTAGTTTTCTGTCACCTGTGTGTCTGCAGAAGTGTGTCGTTCCTCTCCACTGCCCTCAGTGCAGTTAGTGACATTTCCACCCCTGTGTGAGTGGTGGCTCAGTGGTTATCCCTGGTCACCTGTCAGTGGTCTCTGGTTTCTGGAGCAGCACTGCAGGGGGTTCCGTGTCCCTGCAGTTTTGTGCACACAAACAGGCCTGTCATAGTTTTCTTGCTGCTGGGACAAAATTCCCAACACCCGAGGTGGAAGGAGGAAGGGTTTATTTTCTCTCAGTTTGTAGAAGTTTCAGTCCACAGTCAGCCAGTGAAGGGCAAGGTGGAAGGACAGGCACTGCGGAGGGGAAGCAGACCTCAGCAGGGCAGGCGGAAGGGCGTCGAGCAGTGGCCAGCCTCCTTTCCCTTTGTCCTGTCCACCCCAGGGTGGGCCTTCCTATCACACGCACCCCAAACTAGGTTATTCCCTTATTCCCAGCCCGCCCAGGACAGCCGCACTGTGAGTGTATGAGGCTCTGTGGGGACATCTAGATACAGCCCTCACCAGGGCCTGGCATGCATGTGCGTGTGTTTGTGCACACGAGTGTGTCACAGTGTGTGCCTTGTGGCCGCTCCATGTCTCGGCCATCACCCTTCACAGCAGATTCCCGGGTCCAGCTCCCACTGAGACCCTTTGGTCTCTAGACCCACAGTTCCGTGGGTCCAGCAGGGGCACTGAGGAAGTGGACAGCTGTACTGAGACCTGTCCGGTGTGCCACCATCCACAGCTGCCCCACTGCCCCAGCCTCATTCCTTCGCTGTCACCGCCCTGCTGGACCTTTAGCCCTCTTCCTGACAGCCTAGCCTCAGGGTTCCCACTTGTGGCCCTTCCAGATTGGCCAACACGGCCAACTCCACCGCAGCCCGCCAAGGTCCCCAACATGAGGCCGCAACCCTTGGGGCCTTCAGTGAGTGGAGCCAGGAGACAGCAGAGGGCTGGCTTTGGGCCCCATCTGTCTTTTCTCCTGTGGCTCCCACTGGCCTGTACAGCACCGCTCTCCTCTCCTAGGCATGCCCAGCCTTGAGGCTTCAGGTCTAAGATGTGAAGAGCTCAATGTGGGGACCACTGACTCACCACTTCCTGTCACACCCCTTGAGCACCCTTCTGTGTTCCCAGCATGGAGGAAGCCCTGCCCCTAAGGTTCCTCCTGGTGTCCAGGTGTTCTAGCACCTGGCTGCATGGCGTGGTCTGAGGACCCGAGAAGCAGACTTTGGGCTGCTGCCCATGGTGGTGGCTTCAAGAAACTGCGAAGGTTCCCCAGCCCTCTGGGCGCAACCTGTGTGACCAGGAACCAGGCTCCCTGCAGGGCTTCTACCTGCAGCCCACTACAGCAGGGCTGATGGGGCTGCCCGGGGAAGGGATCTGCTGGCTGTAGCCCAGGCCCTGGGGTGCGGGCTCTCAGGGCTTCTGCAGCCCAAGCCCACTGCCCCAGGCACCTCTGTGTGTCTCAGGAGGGACCTGGCCACTGAGGGGCTGGGGCACAAGCCACAAAGAGAGAGACTGATGGGCAGGCTCTTTGTTCTTGTGAATGGAAATGTCCATTTGCACAGAAGTTGGTGGGTGGAGAGGTGTTGGGAGCCGCAGCCCCGAGCCCGGTCGCCTCACTTGGCGGACGTGAGGCCTGTAGTAAAGAGTGAGGCCTGAGGTAGATTACCCCTCCCATCGAACACGTTAGTTTCCTGCTTACCGTGTAAACAACCCGCTCAACAATATAGTCTGCCTGGCAACTGATGATGTTAGCCAATCAGCTTGCCTTGCTTACTTTAACATGATTGGACACTGTACCCGTATATATACCGGTGCCACCCCTGGGCGGAAGTAGAAGCCAGATAGAAGCCCGGAAGTAGAAGCCCAAAAGGAGCCGCGGAGAGCGGACCGGTAGAGGCTTTGGGGCAGGCTGAAGCACAAAAGGAGCCGCGGGGAGCGGACCAAAGGAGGCTTCAGCTGGGAGAACCCAGGGCAGGCTGTACGGAGAAGAAAAATAAAAAGAAAAGGTTGTCCACTACCAGACTTTGTCGTGTGTCCTTCCTGCCGGCCGGGAGCGGACATCGACATTTGGTGGCCCGCCCGGGGACTGATCACCCCCGAGACGTGAAGTGGACAACGCTCCAGTACAGAGCTGCGAGACAGGTGAGTTGGGGATAAGCCTGGGCTCTGGGTGGCGCGCACCTACAGGGCTTTTAGACTCCCCTCAGGCTCACGCGTAAGTGGCGGATTTCTTGGGCCTCACGCGGTGAGTAACATATTAAAAAATGGGAAACATGCTAGGTAGCGGCACTAAGAGCGAGGGTGGTTGTGGAGAAAGCTCTCAAGAGCTTACAAAAGTACGCAGGGTATTTGAGCAGGCCCAGTCAGGGAGCTCCCGAGAGGTGTCCGTCAAGGGGAACAAGGATGCTAAGGAGGAGGACGGGGCTCTAGCCTCGGAGTCGTCTGACTCCGAGGACGAGGGAAAGTTGAATGGCAAGGAGGCCAAAGAGACCAGCTGTCAGGAGCCTAAGTCGCTCAATAAGGAGTCGCAGGGTTCTTTTCCAGCGTCACGCCGCGAATTGCGCTCTGCTCAACCTGGTCTGCGGAGGAGTAGAGAGCTCCTGAGTGCGCCCCGGCGCGAGAGGGAGGCGAAGCCTTCCGCCCCACCTTGGGGGCCGTTTCCGGAGGCGATTCCTCGCCACGAGGCGGCCGCCTGGGAGCTCTCTCCCCTTTCGCCAGAACAGGAAGTGATGCACGGGCCCCCATTTTCCGCCCAATCACGGCCGCCGTCTTATGCTCCGCCGCCGGCGGGTCGGTATTTTTACAGGCGGCTTTGGCAGGGGGGACGCTTGTCTCATGAGGTACATCCACCTGGGATAGATAGTGGCCCCTACGAGATATTTCCTGTACAAGTAGCTATGGGCCAGGGACGCAATGTATGGGAGCCTTTTGAGATAAAACAGATTAGAGAACTTAAAAATGCAGTTACAACCTTTGGGCCGACTGCGCCTTACACCATTGCCATGCTGGAGAATCTGTCTTCTGGGCCCCTCACCCCCGCGGACTGGATTCAGCTGGCAAAGGCGTGTCTGCCCTCGGGTAGTTACCTGGATTGGCGAGCCTGGTATACAGAGTTCTCTGCAGAGCAGGCTGAGAAAAACGCCAATCGAGGAAACCGGGGGTGGAACAAGGAAATGCTTATGGGAGAAGGTCGGCACGCTGATGACCAGACCCAGTTCCCCGGCGCTGTCTATGAGCAAATCAATGCCATAGGACTCCGCACCTGGAAGCAAGTAAGTGGTGCTGGAACAGCCTCCTTGTGTCTTTCAAAAATAATTCAGGGTACCACAGAGCCATTTGTTGACTTTGTGGCCCGAATGCAAGATGCTGCTGATAAAATATTTTCTGATCCGGGAGTGGCTCGACCGCTGGTAAGGCAGCTGATTTTCGAACAGTGTACAAAGGAGTGCAAGGCAGCGATAGCTCCTCATAAGAACAAGGACCTCAATGCCTGGATTAGGATATGCAGAGAGATAGGGGGGCCGCTCTCCAACTCGGGAGTGGCTGCTCTCCTGGCCGCGGCTGTACAGCAGAGGGGACCTCGCGGGTTAGAAGGGAAATGTAAGGCTAAAGGGTGTTTTGCCTGCGGGGAGCCAGGACACATTAAACGTCACTGCCCAAACAATGCAGATGCTAGGCCTCGTCCTAGGAATGAAGAACCATATGTTTGTGGGCGATGCAAGAGGGGATCACACAAAGCTGAGGAGTGTAGGTCGGTCTTTGATGCTCAGGGCAACCGTATTTGTGGACGAGATGCTAGAGGGCCAAAAAACGGCCAGAGGGGGCCCCCTTCACAGGCGGGCCCCCGCCCCAGAGACAGGACAGCTCAGGGTGGCAGCCTTCAACAAGGGCCACCCCTGGGTCAGCAGGTGTGGACCTCAGTGTCGCCTCCAGACTTATATGGGTGTTCATCTTGTCATTTGTCACTCAGCACCCTATAATTTTTCCAAAGGTTACTGCCTCTGAGCCATTAGTCCCAGCAACTACAATATATACAGATGGCTCCAAGACGGGGATAGGCGACTATGTGATCCTAGGCAAGCCCCCGGTTACCATACAATTTAAACCAGATCAGCCTCAGGTGGTGGAACTGCAGATCGTTAAAATGATTCTTGAACGGTTCTCAGAAGCCATTAACATTGTCTCCGATTCTAGGTATGTGGTCAATGCTATGCAAGTGCTTGAGACTGCCGGTTTAATTAGATCCACTTCCACAGTGGCTGGACTGTTCCTGTCTATCCAGACATTGCTTCAGAACAGACACCATAAGGTCTTCACCACCCACATAAGAGCACATACATCCCTGCCAGGGCCTATGGCACAGGGGAATGCGGCTGCTGACACTGCCACTCGCCCGTTATGGATTTTTACCTTACTAACACCAATCGAGCGAGCCCGTGCCTTCCATGATAAGTTTCATGTCAACGCCAGGACACTAGCAAACCATTTCCATGTTTCTAGAGCAGATGCACGAGATATCGTGCGACTATGTGACTCCTGTGCCACATACAAACCTGCCATACCGATGGGAGTAAACCCTCGAGGTTTGATCCCTGGTGATGTTTGGCAGATGGACATCACACATATACAGGAGTTTGGGACTCTTAAATATGTTCATGTTTCCACAGACACCTGTTCTCGCGTCATATTTGCAACAGCAGAAACAGGTGAAAAAGTGTCTAATGTGATCAATCATTGCCTGGCAGCTTGGGCCACATGGGGCAAACCAAAAATATTAAAAACTGATAATGGACCAGCCTATATAGGCAAAGCTTTCAATGAGTTCTGCAAAATGATGGAGGTTCAATTAAAACATGGTATCCCATACAATCCCCAAGGTCAAAAAATCATTGAGAGGGCTCATAGAAGCCTCAAAGAAATTTTACAAAAACAAAAAGGGGGAGTAGGCCAAGGCCTGCCTCCAAAGGCGCGGTTATCTACGGCATGACAATGGATGGGCCCGGATCCGGTGGTTAGGAACCGAGGCGCGGTTTGTGTTTTCCCACAGGAATCGGGACGAGAACCACTGTGGATACCGGAGAGACTGACACGGGCAACAAAGCCCTCGACTGAAGATCAGACCTGCCCTACTGGAGATCCATCACAGACCAACCAACAAGATGAACAGAAATAGCGGTAGCCCGAAATGGACAAGAAGATCCTCAGGCATATGCATGGCTTGCTCAATTGGCCCACGACCGAGTCTAGATATGGCGGGCATCCCTCATTCTCCTCCATAAGGTGACAATACACAGCAGGGTAGGTGAGTCAATGACGGGTAAGAGCGTGCCTCCCCAGCACGACTCGACCTAAGCCAGGCCCTACCCCATCCTGCACGTAAGCCGCTGGACTGTTAGATGCTGCCCAGGTCTAAATTTCTCTCCGAGGGGATTTCTTTACGGAGAGAAAATGAGTGCAAGCTTGTGTGCATCCAGGTTCCGTCCAGTTTGTGCCTGGCCCTAGAAAAAGGACGAGGGCCTCAGGGCCTTGGCAGACCATGGGACGGCCGACCAGGGTCTAAGCCAAGGACCTACGGTGGGCCTACACATAGGGCATAAGCCTCTGCACCCAGTCCAGGAAGGGCTACGATGCGCACATTCATAAAAAATAAAAAAGGGGGAGATGTTGGGAGCCGCAGCCCCGAGCCCGGTCGCCTCACTTGGCGGACGTGAGGCCTGTAGTAAAGAGTGAGGCCTGAGGTAGATTACCCCTCCCATCGAACACGTTAGTTTCCTGCTTACCGTGTAAACAACCCGCTCAACAATATAGTCTGCCTGGCAACTGATGATGTTAGCCAATCAGCTTGCCTTGCTTACTTTAACATGATTGGACACTGTACCCGTATATATACCGGTGCCACCCCTGGGCGGAAGTAGAAGCCAGATAGAAGCCCGGAAGTAGAAGCCCAAAAGGAGCCGCGGAGAGCGGACCGGTAGAGGCTTTGGGGCAGGCTGAAGCACAAAAGGAGCCGCGGGGAGCGGACCAAAGGAGGCTTCAGCTGGGAGAACCCAGGGCAGGCTGTACGGAGAAGAAAAATAAAAAGAAAAGGTTGTCCACTACCAGACTTTGTCGTGTGTCCTTCCTGCCGGCCGGGAGCGGACATCGACAGAGAGGGAGAGCCCCTCCCTGCCCCAGGTAGGTCTCTTCACTTTGGGTCCCAAAGTTCTCCATGTAGTACAGCAGGGTTGCACTTTGGGCCACCACCGGCAGGTGGGGACAGAGGTGTCCCACCTGGGTCCTCCTGCAGGGTCTCTGCCATGTAGTCAGGTGTGGGAGATGAGGTGTCACTTTGTAGGCCCAACCCCCTCTAACCTGCAATTTACAATAGCCGCCCTGGTATGCGAGAAGGAGGTAGAACGGGAATGCCTGTTCTCAGTGAGCCCTCACCCTCTGGAATCCATACTGTGAGCTGGCTTTGTTTTGCAGAAGTCTTGAGGAAGTGGCTGGCCACCCTTTGTGACACTAACAGCAGACAAATTAACAACATTCTTGAGCTAATGAATTTCTTCCTGGGCTAGAGAAGTTGTGAGAACTGGTTGTGATTATTTACTTCACTTAGATAGTTTTAGAATAAACATTGTAGTCTGTCACGTTGTAGCTTGCCACAAAGAATGCCTTTTCACTACTTAATTATCTGGGCTCTGTGAATTGATCGGGTTTACTATATATGAATCCTAAAATAAAGATTGTGCGTACAGTGCAGTGCAGTGCAGTGTAACGCGGTGCAGACAGCAAAGGTGTCTCTCCTGTCTTTCTTTTCCAAGCGCTGTACCCCCCGTGTCCCGACAAGGCGTGCGTGTTTACCTTGCCCGGAGTTCAGAGTGCTCTAGACACTCACGACAAGTGGCGCCCGAATTCAGGGACTCCAAAGGTCGCTTAGGAAGGTAAGTATAATTTTATTACGGGGAAATGGGACAATCTGCTTCCTCTCCTTTCTTAAAAATTCTTAAACATTTATTATCTATATATGGCATATCGCTCAGGTCAGCTGACTTAGATATGTGTATTGATACAATTAAAGAATATAATCCTTGGTTTCCAGATGAAGGAACTTTGGATGTAGAAGTATGGAGGAAGGCAAGGGTTAGTATAGAAAGGGCTATGCAACAGGAGGAGAAGATTCCTTTACGTTTTTGGGCTATTTGGTCGGTTGTGTACTCTTTATTAAAAGCTATGGAAGATGAACATATTGTAAAAAATCTTCAACTAGAAATTAAGCCAGTTATTCAGGAATTGCCCCTCACAGAGGAGGAGCAGAATGTAGTTCAAAATGACGCTATCGCTTTAAGTAGTGAAAAGGCGTCCAAACCAAAAGTAAAATCCGCTACAGCCGACTCAGCTTTAGCTGCCGCAGCAATATCAAATTATGACAATCGCCCAATTTTACAGGCTATACAGCATTTAACACAAGAGGTGAAACAACTCTCCGTTAAGCAGAACCCGCCTGTAGTTCCCTCTGCACCTCCTCCATCTAACCCTAATTGGAGTAAAGCCAAGCTAGCTTTGGCTGATTTACCAAAATTAGGGGATTCTGATGAGGAAAAGCCTGCCTTTGCTTTCCCTGTAATCAGGCCTCAGCCAATAGATGGAGAGGCAGTTCCCCCTAGATGGGAAGCATTTAATATGGATGATTTAGCAAAATTAAAAAAGGCTGTAACCCTTTATGGCCCTCAGGCTCATTACACTAGAGAATTAATAACATCAGTAGCAGATCACTATGGTAATCTTGCTCCTTATGATTGGAAAGCCTTGGCCAAAATTCTTTTAAAAGAGCCAGAATATTTACAGTGGCACATGTGGTTTATGGAAGGTTGTGCGGAAAAGGCAAGACAAAATGCTGACGATCGAGATCCGAATATTAGACTCCTTTCTTATCCCATGCTCTCTGGTACAGGTTTCTTTGATACTGTTGAGCATCAGGCAGGAGCTCCAAGAGAGATTCATGCTCAATTAAAAGATATTGCTTTAAAAGCTTGGGATAAAATACGGCCTAAAGGATCAGAATATGGATCTTGGGCTAAAGTTCTGCAAGGAGCCAATGAACCGTATGTTGAGTTCGTTGCAAGACTTCAAAATGTTATAGAAAAAACAGTAGTGGGACAAGACTTACAAGAGCATCTCTTAAAAATGTTAGCTTTTAAAAATGCTAATGATGAATGCAAAAGGGCTTTAATTCCAATAAAAGATACTGGAACGATTGACAATTTTATAAAACAATGTAAAGATTTAAATTCAGAATCTAAAAAAATGCAACTGTTTGCTGAGACCATGGCAACCACGTGGACTAATTGGCAATCTAAAAAAAAAACAGTCTTTAAAATGTTTTAATTGTGGTCAGATAGGACATATAAAGAGGGCCTGTCCAAAACTTATAGACAATGATCAAAAAAAGAGATCTAGAGCTCCTGGCTTATGTCCAAAATGCAAAAAGAAAAATCATTGGGCTCGTAAATACAAGAGTAAACAAGTTAATTCAGCTAAACAAAAAAAAAACGGGAAAACGGGCCCTACCCCGGGCCCCGGACAAATCAATGGGATAACTCTACCGTATTCTCCCTACAGCCAGCCACCCAACACAGTGCCGCAGTAGACATACCAGCCTTAAAAGATATAAAATTAAGAGGAGGACAATCTCCCGTGAGAATTCCTACAGGAATTTTTGGTCCTCTGCCTGCGGGAACTTTTGGCTTGCTCACGGGTAGATCTAGTTTAAATCAAAAAGGCATTACTGTTCACTTAGAAATTATAGATACAGATTATACTGGAGAAATTCAGATTCTGATGTCCTCACTTACAGATTATAAATTATTAAAGGGAAAACGTATAGCTCAACTCATTTTACTGCCTTATAAATGATGACCCAATTTGGATAGATCAGTGGCCTATGACTACTCAAAAGTTACAGACAGCGCAACAATTGATTGATCAACAGCTTTTTCTACATCACATAGAACCATCCACATCTCCTTGGAATTCTCCAATATTTGTGATAAAAAAAAAATCAGGCAAGTGGAGACTTTTAACGGACTTACGTGCTGTAAATTCATCCTTAATTCAAATGGGAGCCCTTCAGCCCGGTATTCCTTTACCCTCAGCGCTCCCTGCTGGTTGGTTTGTATATGTTATAGATTTGCAAGATTGTTTTTTTTAACATCCCATTACATCCAGAAGATAGAAAACGGTTTGCTTTTTCAATTCCTCAAACAAATTATCAAAGACCTTATCAAAGATATCAATAAAAGACTTTACCCCAAGAAATGAAAAATTCCCCAACTATATGTCAAATTTATGTTGATGCAGCATTAAAACCAGTGCGTGCACGATGGCCTCAGGTTTATACGGCTCATTTCATGGATGATATTTTATTCTCATATAGTAATAAAAATGTTTTAGAAGATATTTTAAAAACTTTACCTCAATATTTTTCTCCGTTTGGACTTGTAATAGCACAGGATAAAATTCAAAAGGAAGAAGTTAGTCATTATTTGGGATATATTCTTACTAGACAAAAGGTGATTCCACAAAAAATGTCTATTAGGAGAGATAAGTTATCCACTTTAAATGATTTTCAAAAATTATTAGGGGATATTAATTGGCTTCGTCCCACACTAGGTATTCCTACCCATGCATTACAGCATTTGTTTGCTACTCTACAGGGCTCTTCAGATCCATCCAGCCCTCGTTCTTTAACAACAAAAGCCGAGCAAGAATTACAGTTTGTAGAACAACGAATTAAGGATGCATTTTTAATTAGGATTGATCCTAAATTGCCTCTAACTTTATATATTATTAATACTTTTCAATATCCCTCTGCAGTTTTAGGTCAAAATGCTATGCCAGTAAAATGGGTATTCACTAAAACTAAGCAATCTAAAAATGTTATGCCTTATATTGACATGGTTGCAGCTTTAATTATAAATGGTAGAGCTCGTTCTATAACTTTAATAGGAGAAGATATAAACAATATAGTTATCCCTTTAACTAAAGAACAATGAAAATATTTGTTGTCAATTACTGAAACCTTACAAATTGCTTTAACAGATTTCATGGGAACTTTTTCATATCATTTTCCTAAAAGTAAATTATGGGATTTTTTTAGACGTCAACAATTTGTGGTTAATACCTTATTAGCTGTACAGCCAATTCCACAAGCTTTGACTATATTTACAGATAGATCTAAAAATAAAGCTACATATTAGACTCAAAAATCTTACTGGGTACGTCAGACAAATTTTAACTCTGTACAACAAAATAAACTTTTTGCTATATTACAAGTGTTTTTAGATTTTCATAACCAACCTATTAATATTATAGCCGATTCGGCCTATTCTGTTGGAGTAGTGACAAATATCTATTCAGCTGTGTTATATTCTAATAAGCCTGCTTTATTGTCTTTATTTCAAAATTTACAAATACATGTTCAAAAAAAAAATCATTCTTATTTTATTACTCATTTACGTTCTCATTCTCAGTTACCCAGACCATTAGTATCAGGTAACAATACAGTGGATTCCTTAGTTATGTTCACCACACCCGTTAAAAAACATCAATTTAATCATGCAAATGCAGGACATTTGCATCTTAAATATAAGATACCTTTTACAAAAGCTAAACAAATTGTAAAAGCCTGCCCTATTTGTAGACCATTACATTTAAAAATTATTCCCACAGGTGTCAACCCTCGAGGAACTCAACCTAATAAATTATGACAAATGGATATTACACATGTACCTTCTTTTGGTCGGCTTTCTTATGTACATGTAGTTATTGATACCTATTCTTCATTTCTATGGGCTACTGCTCAACAGGGAAAATCCACTAAAAATGTTATTGTACATTTATTAGAGACTTTTACAGTTATGAAAATTCCTTCTAAAATCAAAACAGATAATGGACCTGCTTATACTAACAGAACATTTAAACAATTTTGTGATCTCCATAATATTATTCATATTACAGGGATTAAATATAACCCCCAGGGTCAAGCTATTGTTAAAAAAACACATGGCACTCTTAAGTTGCAAATTAAAAAATTAAAAAGGAGGAGTCAGGAGGATATTCAGATACCAATACTGTTTAAATTGCAAAACAGTCCAAAAACATTACTGCATCAAGCATTGTTTATTTTAAATTTTCTCAATTTACCACAAGGTGAAATATTAACAAGAGCTGAAAAACATTTTGAACAGCAACAACAGCCTTTTGTGATTAATGAACCTATTTGGACTAAAACAGCTCCAGAGGCTGAATGGGAGAGGGGCACATTGCTCTATAGGGGGAAAGGTTTTGGTTATATCTCCACAGAAAATGGAATTCAGCAGTGGGTCCCTGGACGATGGATCAGGACCCGCGTCTCCAGATCCTGTTCACCAGCCCCGGAGACAACTCCCCAAGGAACCGGAACCGTGCCTTCAGAAGCGAGCGCGAAACCAGCTAGAAGCTGAGGATGCTGAGTTTGTTCCTATCGCAGCCATGGCCAGATTACAGCTAAGAAAATCCCGCCGCTCACAGCGACCAAATTTAAATCCCCTCCCTACATGGGGACAATTAAAGAAATTGACCATAGAAGGGCAACGGCTTGTCCTTCAAGCAGGAAAGCCTTTAAACCCCGAAAACTTGTTTTTAGCTTTATGTGCCTTGCTCACCGTTGCATCGGGGACTGAGGTACCTCCGCATTCGTACTGGGCATATATTCCAAACCCCCCTTTATTAGAACCTGTAAAATGGGGAACTAGTGATATTTTACTTTATACCACACCTAGAGAAATTTTGTCAGCACCGTGGGCTGATTTAACCCCCCACAATCAAGATGATGGGACACTATTCAATTTTACTTATTATGGTAATCAAAGGCCTATTTACATTGGGGAACCGCCTTACATCCCTCTGGGATGGCAGTATTGGATTCAACATGAAATAAAAGCAGGCAACAAAAGGACAAGGCTTCAAGCCTTGGCTGCTCAAACCTTTAATGTTACCTGGAAAAATTTAACAGCACCTGATACAAATACATTTCCTGTATGCCCTGAATTCACTTATAAAAATATTTCTTATAATCCCATAATTTGGCAACTATGTATGGGAAAATTTGCTAAAAATATTGATGGGTATATTATTTGGGGACCATTTGGAAAATTCGTTAATGGATGTGCTGAATGGAATGAGACAAGATGTAATCTCTCTGTTGTGTATAGTCTTCCAGATCCAAAAAAAATAACTGACGGAGCTCCTATATTTCAACAAAAGACGGCTCTCTTGTGGTGGGGAGATGGTGAAATCGCTAACCCTGCTGTTGCAGCCGAAGAATACCCTCATCACCTTCAAAATCATATTTGGAAGATCCCAGCCGCTATGCAACCTGTAACCTTGTACAATGTTTCATATTCAGGGACTAGTCGATCTGTATCTACTACTTATAATTTTACTAGGTTTAAAATGTATAATATTACTGTTTGTGCACCTCTGCCTTATGTCTTTTTAGTGGGAACTTTTAATTTTACACATTTTTCTTGTACTTGTTTAAATTGTCAATTGTTTACATGCTTAAATAACACACTAAATTTCACTAAGCCTTATACAGTTATGCTGTTACAACAAAAAACTCATATTTGGTTGCCTATAAATTTAACTCGACCTTGGTCTCAAGACCCGGTAATTTCTGTTACTACTGAATTTTTTAAACATCTGTTAAAACGTACAAAAAGATTTATTGAAATAGTGGTTGCTGTACTGTTAAGTCTGATAACTATAGCCTCTCTAGCAGCAGTCTCAGGAGTAGCTTTACATACCTCTTTACAAGAAAAACATGTTGTCAAATTATGGCATGAGAATTCTCATAAACTTTGGTTAACTCAGTGGCAAATAAACGCCAAACTACAACAACAAATAGACCTCCTTAAACAAACAGTTGAATGGATGGGTAAAAAAATATTGGCTCTTCAGCATCAAGTGTTTTTAAAATGTGATTGGAATTCAACTACTTTCTGTATAACCCAACGACCTTATAATCAGACAGAACATAAATGGGAAATGATTAGAATGTATTTAAATGAAAACACCTCTGCCCAGGAGGAAATAAAATCTTTGCATAATCAAATTGACAAGGATTTTGCAAAGCAAAATGATGATAAATCTCTAGCACAATTCGCGCAATTGCTTGCTCAATCTTTAAAAGGATTAGATTCCAAAGGAATCTGGCAAAACATTACCCACACTTTTAGTGGCATGGGACTTAGTTTAATTATAGTTCTCATTGCCATAGTTCTTATGTATTTTTACTGCATAAGACGAAATGCTATTAATAACCTGATCTTATAGAAATTATTGTTAAAAAATAAAAAGGAAGGAAGTGTGGGAGATGAGGTGTCACTTTGTAGGCCCAACCCCCTCTAACCTGCAATTTACAATAGCCGCCCTGGTATGCGAGAAGGAGGTAGAACGGGAATGCCTGTTCTCAGTGAGCCCTCACCCTCTGGAATCCATACTGTGAGCTGGCTTTGTTTTGCAGAAGTCTTGAGGAAGTGGCTGGCCACCCTTTGTGACACTAACAGCAGACAAATTAACAACATTCTTGAGCTAATGAATTTCTTCCTGGGCTAGAGAAGTTGTGAGAACTGGTTGTGATTATTTACTTCACTTAGATAGTTTTAGAATAAACATTGTAGTCTGTCACGTTGTAGCTTGCCACAAAGAATGCCTTTTCACTACTTAATTATCTGGGCTCTGTGAATTGATCGGGTTTACTATATATGAATCCTAAAATAAAGATTGTGCGTACAGTGCAGTGCAGTGCAGTGTAACGCGGTGCAGACAGCAAAGGTGTCTCTCCTGTCTTTCTTTTCCAAGCGCTGTACCCCCCGTGTCCCGACAAGGCGTGCGTGTTTACCTTGCCCGGAGTTCAGAGTGCTCTAGACACTCACGACAGTCAGGCCTCTGTGCCATGGCGTGCTGTCCTTCATGTTGGGTAGCTTCAGTCTTGCTGCCTGGGGAGAGGATGAGATCTCTGGATAGTGAGCAGAAGCCCCTGCAGCCCAAAGCCGCCTCCACCATGACCTGAGCCTGGGTCTGCCACTCACGTGCTATGACCTGGCAGGTTGCCTGCAGCCTCTGAGCCTCTTCATCTTTAGGTTCTGGGTCCAGTGTGGTCAATCCCTCCAGGCAGCTTCCAGCATCCCCGGCAGACAGGACAGAAAGACAGCAGGTCACAGAGGTGACAGGGGTTGTCCCCAGTTGGGGTGCTGGGTGCTGCCTCCTTGGCCTAGGGGGCCTCCTGGGTGGGCAAAGGGCAAAGGACAGGGCAGTGCTTCCCCTAGAGGAGGGGACCAGGCTCTGAAAGCATGGGAGAGGAGGGGAGCTAGGAGACGGGGAGTGAGAGAGGTGGAGAGAGGAGAGGGGAAGAGGGTCAGAGGGCTGGGCAGAGACAGAAGACAGGAGGGAAGAAGAGAGAAGTGGAGATGATGGGCAGGGGGAGGAGGGCTGTGAGAGAGGACGGGGAGGGGAAGGTGAGAAGGGAGGGAGTGGGGAGGGGGGAGGGGAGGGTGGGGAGGGAGGGGCTCTGAGGACAGAGGGGGGGAAGCCCACAGCAGGGAGGAGACGGGGGGGGGCAATGAAGTGGGGGGACTGTGGAGTCAGGGAGGGAGGCGGAGGAGGAGGAGAAGGGGAGAGAGGATGGAGGAGAGGAGAGAGGAGGAGAAAGAAGGACAGAAGGAAGTGGAGGAGAGCAGGAGGAAGTGGAGAGCAGGAGGAAGTGGAGGAGAGGAGGGGGAAGGAAGGAAGGGGAAGTGGAGAAAAAGAGGACCTAGAGGAGAAAGAGCAGAAGAGAAAAAGGAGAGAAGTGGAAAGGAAGAAAAGAAAGTAGAAGGGGAGGAGAGTTGAGGGGGAGGAGAGAAGGAAGAAAATACGGGAGAAGAGCAGGAACAGAAGGAGAAGAGGGGAGGGAGTGGAAGAGAGGAGGGCAGAGGGGTGGGGAAGAGGAGGAGCCCAGAGTGGAGGAGTCCGGAGAGGAGGACAGGACTAGGGAGAGAAGAAGAAAGAGACAGCCGAGCAGGAGCAGGACACAAGAAGCCACCTGAGCAGAGAAGGCAGGAGAGGAGCTGAGCAAGGGACAGTAGCTCACATGCTGAGTGGAGTGGCTGCAGCCAGGACCCACCGAGGAGCCTCAGTGGGTGTCGTGTCGGGCGTCCCAGGGCTCTGGGGCGCCCCTGAGTGAGGAACGGAGACTGGGGCAAATTGCAGGCAGCCCAGGGTCCCCCAGTGTGACTGTCCCCCATCCCTCACTGTTCCCCAGAATGGTGGCACTTAGGGCTACAGGACAAGAGCAAGAGCAGGTGCCGGGTGTGGTGGGGCACACACACCTGTAATCCCAGCACTGGGGAGCCTGAGGTATGAGGATTGTTGCGAGTCCGAGACCAGCCTGGGCTACAAAGTGAGCTCAAGGCCAGCCTGAACCACAAAGAAAGACCCTGTCTCAAAAAGACAAAAATAAAAAATAAAAGAGTTGGAGCAGGGCAGAGAGGGTGTGGGGAGCCCAGGTCAGGACCTGGCAGGATGTGAACCGGGGTGGCAAACTCCAGGTGTGGGGCACAGGGATGTCTGTCCTGACGGGGGGTAGAGGCAGTGCCAGGCGGAGGCTGCAGAGTCCTGCCGGGTCACCAGAGCACAGGGATAGGGAGGCCAGGGGCAGGAAGGTTGGCACCTGGCATCAGAACAGATGGGGGAGGGGGGCTAAGGGAGATGGGGACAGTCGCAGAGGAGGGAAGGGGCCCTAGGAAAGGGAGGTAAGCGTGCAGAGCCCCGCCCCTCTCCTACCCTGCCTCAGTTTCCCTATCTGCTCCCCAGACTGCAGCCCTGCAGGAACATGGGAGGGGCTGGTGGCCTCACCCAGCTTCTCTCCATGAGGGGCCAGGCCTGAGCCTGGCTCTGTCCAGCACCTGGGTTTGAGCTCCAGGACACCCGGCCCCTTCCCTCGGGGCTCCAGGGGCTGAGAAGGCAGCAGGTGCATGGACAGCTGGGCACAGAGCTCACACAGTGCCCTTCCCTGGGCCAGGCGAGGGTGCAGGGGACGGAGAGCGGAGGGTGGGGGTTAGGGCTCACAGAGGCAGCACAAGGTAGATACTGGCCCTTCTTCCCTCACCCCAGGAAGGAGGATGAGACCACCACCCCACGTCGGGCCACCCAGCAGACAGCAGTGCATGGAGTGTCTGTCCTCCCCAAGATGCAGAAAGAGGGGAGACACTGTGCGTGGTGGTGCACGCCGGCCATCCAGCCCTCTGGGAGGCTGAGGCAAGAGGATCACAAGTTCGAGTCTAGCCTGGGCAATCTGGTGAGACTCTGAGTCAAGAACAGAAAGCAAAACACAAGGGCCACCCACTTGTTTCTTAGGAACTATTCTGTTCCCCATTCCCAGGCCCCCTTCCTGTTCCCCAGTAAACCCTTCCTACTCTTAACAAAAAAAAAAAAAAAGAAAAAAGAAAAAGGTGCTGGTGTGGAGCCACTGGGTCAACCCACAGCACCAAGGTGGTAGGGAGTGTGAGAGGGAGAGACAGAGACAGAGAGTAACAGAGACAGAAAGACAGTGTCAGAGAGGGAGAGAATCAGAGGTGAGGGACAGAGAGAGAGAGACAGAGATGAAGAGACAGCGTGTGAGTGTATCCCCTGGCCCCCGGGCCAAGGGGTGCTGCCCCGGTCCCTTCCTCCCCAGCAGCGCGCAGGGCAGGGAGCAGAGGGGAGGAGAGGAGGTACAGACTGCACACATGTAGGTAGGTACGGTGGTCCCAGTGTGGGGGGAGGAGGGGAAAGGGGCTGCTCAGAGGTGGGCAGGGCCGAGGAGCGCAGGGAAGAGGACCAGGATGGAGGCCAGCAAAGGACAGTCCACACTGGGGCAGATCACGGTGCATACAGCAGGCGCCCAATAAATGCAGCCCTCAGAACAGGCAGAGAGAAACTGGCAGGCAGAGCAAGGGGGCTGGAGTGTGGCAAGGCTAAAAGGATGAGCTGGGCCGCTAATGCCTGGCATCCAGTAGGTGCTTCAAAAGTGCTTGTTTTCTGCTCCACAAACAGTAGCTGGAGCTGACAGGTGAGCTGGGGAGTGTGGGAAGGGGAGTGCACAGGGATGGTCAGGCATGCAGGCCATCACATTCCCTGCTGCTGGGGGCAGAAAGCACAGGCCATGCCAAGAGGGGACAGGGCGCAGCAAATGTGCTGGCCCAGTGGGACAGGAGTGCTTCTCCAACGTGCTCCACCCAGGGGAAGGGGGGACACGGGGTGGGTGGAAGGTGAGGAGCAGGCTCAGGGCTATCCCTTCTGTCCTGGGAGCTGAGCGCAGAGCAGGGGACAGGGGACGGGCTTCTTGCCTGGAGGACCCACCCTGAGGGAAGGAAGAGTCAGAGGCGGCTAGGGCAGCTCAGGAAGCACCTGCCTGCGTGCTCAGCAAACCCAGCTGCTCCGCAGCTTCAAGCTGAGGCAGGAAGAGACAGGAGCGGGGAAGGCCCAGGCACCCACAGCAGGTGACAAGGACGTGTGCTCCTTCTGGCACCCAGGGCAGGGCAGGGCAGGGTGAGGGCGCTGGCCAGGCTCTGCCCACGGGAGAGGACAGGGCCATTGTCATGGTGTAGCACCACCACCTGGAGTGGGGAGCTGTGGTCACTGCCCCTCTGTCCCCGCAGTGGCATTTGGACCTCAGGGAAGGGCTGCTGGCCTCCGTGTCCCTTGTCACCTGTACCTCCCCCAGTTCACAACCATGGCTGCTTCTCCCTGCCACTTGTCCCCGCATGTATGAATCCCCCCATCCCACCCACCCAGCAGAACAGCAGAGAAGTGGAAGGAAAGACAGGTGGAGGGCGACAAATGACAGAACCTGCTTTATTCAGCCAGGCACAGAGTCGCGAAGGCTCCCTAGAGAGCTGAGAGGGGGCAGAGAGGGACAGGGACAGGGACAGTGGGGGACGGTGGAGGCGGGCAGAGTCAAAGGCACAGGGAGAGACTGATGGATTGACAAAGACACAGAGAAACCAAGACACAGAGAGCGAGGAGCACGAGAGAGGGGAGTGAGGGAGACAGAGATAGAGACTGGACAGGGGAGGTGCCCACGGCGGGCAGAGATTCAGACAGCAGCAGCCGAGAAGTCACAGAGAGACAGAGGAGCCAGGGACAGGAGAGGCGGAGGTAAGGGACAGACAGACAGGAGGAAGCAGGGCGCAGGTGGGCAGAGGAGAGCCCAGTGAGCAGAGACAGGGCGCACAGCGGAAGTGGGGAACAGGAGCAGGACGGCTGTAGGGGTCGGGGGCTCCTCTCACCTGGCACTGGAGGCAACTGCAGCCCCTAGCCCAGCCCTGAGCTTTAAGGGGCTCCAGGGCAGCCCCTTATCTAGCCCCACCCCTGGGTGGCTAAATCGGGCCTCAGCTGTTGGACAGCTGACTCCGCCCCCACCCACCTAAGTGCAGGGACATAGGGCCGCGACCCTCGCAGGCCCCAGGCCCGAAGCTGTGCTCCCGACCTTATTTGGCAGTGTCTGGGAGTACCTGGGAGGCCCCGACGCCACTCAGCCAGGAATAGAAACCTGGGTTCCTCCAGCTGTCTGTTTGTGGAGGGCGGAGGGCGACAGGAGGGGACGGGTGTGGGTGCGGGGAAGACAGGAGATGAGAGTGAAGCTGGCCAGGTGCTGGCCAGCCAGGGGGCAGTCCTTCCCCTTCACTGACCACCTGCCCTTTGACCTCAGGAACTTTCGTCCCCCAGCATGGTCCTGGGATGTGCAGGTGTGGTGGAGGGTGAGGGGTGTTGGGAGTGTCAGCTGCAGTGCTGAGGTCCTGAGGCAAAGTCCAGTAGCGCCCTCCACCTGCTTCTCCCTCTGGGACTGGGACTTCTCCCCCTGTCCCCGGACTGTGAGCCCTGAACCCCCTAAAACTTCTTCCTGTTATTGGTCAGTCCCGTTCTGGGGAGCCCAGGATATCCTCCAAGCCCAGGTCTGCCAGGCCCATCCCTGCCAACCGCCTCTCCCCCACCTCCCTAGTGTCCTGGGCTATGGGTGTGTCTTCCCGTCCCCAAGGCTATCCCTACCCTGGTGGACCTGCCTGCTTTGTGTCACCACTGGCCGGCTAGCTCTCATCACCTCCTCAAATAACTATGTAGGTCCTGAGCTCATCTGACTTATTTTTGGTGGTGTCAGGAATGGAACCCAGGGCTATGCAAGTGTCACCTCTGAGCCACGCCCCCCCAACCTCCCCAGGTCTGAGAACCCTCCACTGTCCACAGCCACTCTGTCCCCATCAGCTCCCCATGCACCCTGTGGGACTCCCCTCTGAAACACACAACCATGGGGCAGGGGGCCCTGGTGTCCTCTTGTCCCCCAACCCCAGCCAGAAGCAGGGTGACCACAGACCGCCCAGCTCTGGCACCCAGCAGCACAGCTGGGACCAGCTCACTGTGGAAGTCACACTACCACTTGTCTCCATCCCTCAGGCCTCCTTGGGGCTGTCCTCCAGCCTGGGGGGCTTTTCCTGGCACCCCACACTGCCCCCCTTTCCCCCCCTTTTCCTGGGAGGCCCAGTACCCCCAGTGGCCCAGCGGCCCCTTGGTGGCTTGTGTGCATACAGGTTCTGTCGGCCTGTGGAGACAGGGGTGACCCCCACTGCATTGTGGGGCCCAGGGACAGTGACTTCCATGGGCCAGGGCCACCACCGGCTCCCTGCTGGCTGATCACAGGCGCCAGGTTCTTGGACAGCTGTGGCCCACACCCTGCCTGCCTCACAGCTGACCAGCAGGAAACAAAGCCTCTCTGCCTTCTTTTTTTTCCCCCTTTTTGGCGCTGAGACAGAACCCCGGGTCTTTGGCTTGAGCTCCACCCCTAGCCCTTCTAATTTTTAATTTTGAGACAGAATCTCATTAAGGCTCTAAATTGCCTAGATTGAGCTAGAGCTCACGATCTTACTGCCTCAGCCTCCTGGCGTGCTGGGAGGTCAGGCATGTACCATCACCAGCTTTGGCTGGGCTCCAGTCTCCCAACGTCGATGCATCAGGCAGACACAGGCCACACTGGTGCAGATCAGCAGTTTTACTGAGGCAGCAGCGGTGTAGGTGTAAGCGGTGGGGAATATGGCGAGGGGGAGGGACCGTGTCTCCCTGGCCGTGCAGGTCCTTCCCCGGCACTTGAACTCAGGCTGGCTGTGGTCGCAAGTGCAGCACCAGGCAGCACTGAGGCCGGCCCTGTGGTTGGTTGGTCGGTCAGTCACTCTGCAGCCAGCAACCCTTCTCTTCCACCTCCTTGGTCACCACCAGCAGTACCTCACACAGGCCTTGGGCCAGGGCAGCCGTCAGGAAGGCCCTGGGTGGAGTGATGGGGAGCCTGAGGCCCAGCCAGCCTCCAGGTCCCCTTGTGAGGTTGGGGGACGAGGGTGAGTACCCTGCCACTTCCGCCTGGCTCACCTGACCCCATCCTCGTCTCCCAGGGTCTCTGGTGCCTGCAACTTAGAGTCGAGGTTGTAGTAGATGCCGCCCACCTGACGCAGGGCCACCCAGTGCCGCCGGCGTAGTGGCAGGGACAACAGCCCCAGCGACACGGGTGAGGGCAAGTTCAGGATGAGCCCCAGCACCTGCGGCAGGGCCAGCTGGGACAGGGGCCTGGGAGGGAGATGTGGGGTTAGGCCAGGTGTCCCTGGCTGCCTTGGCCCTGGGCCTGCCATCTCCCGCCACCCATCCATGAGACCCCACCCACCCTATCAGGGCCCCCAGCAGCCAGCTGCTTTCCTGCCTGCTAATCTGCCCACTTCCATCCACCACACCTCCTCTACCCCCACCTGCCAAGTGTCTTATATTCACTCAACAACCACCCATTCATCACCCCATTCACCACGGATGACCTGATAGCCTTCCTCTTAGATGCCCAGGGGCCACCGTTCTGCCCATCGCCCAGCAATGCAGCAGGACTGTCACATGGTCCCCCTCCCCCACCATCATGCCACCCTGTGGGCCACACAGCCCTTCCCGTCTGTCTCCTCTGGTCCCATACTGAGTGGCTGGGCCCTGCCCCTGTCTTCCAGGTGGCCCTAGCAGGTGCCAGCTCATCCTACCTCCTCCTGTCCCACCACACGGCAGCCAGGCCCAGCCCCTGCAGGGCCGCCATGATCACGTTGACGTCATAGTTGCCGGTGCCCAGGAGGCTGCGGTGCGGGTTCAGCCGGGAGTCTGGGGCCAGCCTGGGAGCGGGGGTGACAGGAGTCTGAGCTTGGACCTGGAGAGGCCTCACCTTCCACCTGGCAGGGTGTCCCCTGCAGCCCCGTCTTCCCAGGAGCTTCCCTTCCCTCCTCCACTCACATCCTCCATGGCTACCCAGTGCTCTGAGACCAGGTCTCTATTCCTAGGGCCCTCTCACTGTGAGCAGTCCCTTCCACTCTGCATCCCACATGCACCTCCTCCGAGGGAAGCCTGCTGACCTCCCTGGCTCCCCTGGTGAGTGGGGCCATCCCAGTGGTGATGATGCCCGTATCACCTTCTCTGTGTATGTGTGGAGGGGTACTAGGGCCTGGACCCAGGCCTTGAGCATTCTGACCAAGTGCTCCATCAAGGACCCACATGCCCAGCCTTGTAAATCTGATCTTCAGTCAACAACTTCCCAAATTGCCCAGGTGGGCCTTGAACTTCCTGCCTCAGCTTCTCGAGGTGCTGGGATTGCAGGCTTGTGTCACTGCACCTGGCATCACTGTTTTAACACCGTTTGCTCTTGCAGAGGTTAAGGCTGCCCATCGCCAGCCCACAGCTCCCCCTGGTGCCCCATGGTCCTAGCACCGTGTCCCATGTACTCCAGCTGGCAGTCTCGGCACTGTGGTCTCGGGGTTGGCCCTTCCCAGACACCTGGCCCCAGCCATGCCCTGCATTCCTGCGTCCTGTTCTTTGCTCCAGCTCTCTGGGCCCACCCTGCAGCCACAAGTCTCTCCCAGCCTCCTGTTCCAGCTCAGAACAACTGGATCTTTGTTCCCCCAACTCCCCCTCTCGGGCCCTGGGAGGGCAGGGAGGGGGAGGGGAAAGCTTGAGCCTTATTTTTCTGTTTCCCTCGCCTCCTCCCTCCTGCAGGGCTCCTGCCTGACTCAGCTCTGGGCTTGTGGCATGAGTCTCCATCGATACCCTGTGTGGAATAAGAAGAGATGAATAAAGTCTGTAACAACCAGCCTGAGGATTATTAGGGAGCTGCAGGAGGCCCAGAGCAAGAGAGGGTGTAGGAAAAAATCCATCTGGGAATTTGGGGTGCACTGGCTGGTGGGGAATCGAGGTGAGGAGGCTGGGTGAAATGTTCAGGCAGCAGAGGGCCAGACTGAGAGGAGAGGCCAAGGCAGAGGGATTATAAAGAAGTGCTGCTTGAAGTCTTGGGGAATGTCCAGATTACCAAGGCAGGAAGCCACACCTGGTGCAAAGGCTCAGAGGCTGGTGGTCACTCAGGGGCTGCAGAAAAGTCTAGTTTGAGCAGTGAGAGAAAAAGCTGCAGAGGTGGGCAGCACAGCCAAGGGCACAACCACAAGTGTTGGTGGAGGCTGAGGGGCTCAGGACTTTCCCAAGGTGGACTAGAAAGCTGTGCGCGGGCGAGGATCAAGGTGAAGGTTAGGCACTGTCTCCACATGGAGCTCCACTGCAGCTCAGGGCGTGCAGGAACAGGACCTGGCCTCTCTGTGAGCCCTAGTTTGGCCTCCCTGGGCCCTGCTTCTCTGGGGGACAGGGTGGGTGAGTCACCTCTTGCAGATCTCATCGGCAGCCTCCTGACTAAAGAGCCGCTGCTGCAGGACATTGTTGAGGGCATGGACGGCACACAGCTCCAGGCGCTGCCGCTCGTGGTACACGGAGGGTGGGCTTGGCTGTGCCTCTGGGGCCTGGGACATGCTGCCCTCGGCTCCTGCTGGGGGTGGGGAGTAGGGAGAAGGTGGTCAGGGCCTCAGGATCTGGAGGCCTGGAGTGTGAGGTCCAGCCTCCCAGGAGACCCCTGGGCACCAGCATCAAGGTGTGGGCCAGGGACATCCTCTGAGGACACTGGGCCCTAACCCTGCTCCTTGGGCTGGCTCCGGGCAACACAAGGCACCTCTATCCCCTGTTCCTAGAAAAGATCTTTTCTGCTCACTTGACAACACAGAAACCCCTGATTTCTAAGTAAAAGGGTGCCTATCATTGTCACTTAGCAACAGAGGACCCTCCACTCCCATTCCTAGGTAACAGGATCACTAGTTTCCTAGCAACAGAGGACAACCTCCCCTCACACACACTCTGGGTAACAAAGTTCCTCCTCTGATTACCTAGCAATGGAGGACTCCTCCCCTGCTGTCTTCTGGTCGCCTAGAAACAGAAGACTCCCCTTCCCCGGTTATTAAACAACTATCCTCTTGTCACCTGGTAATAGAACACCCTTCCCAGTCACTAAGTAAAGTATTTCCTGTTCCCATCACCTGGCAACCAGGCCTCCTTCCCGACACCAAGTACTAGAACCCTTTCCCCGACCCCTATCCCAACCACGTCCCTCACCCCGCCTGTATCTCCGCTTCCCCGAGCCGGGGGCTTCCGCATCCCCCTGGGCAGCGGCACTGGGCTCCGAGCCCGGGGCGGGCAACACCGCGCTGACCGGACTGGCAGGACGGACTACAGATCCCGGCGACCCGCGCGCTTCGCAATACGATTCCCGACGGCCGCCGCCGGACTCTTGCGCTCTCTCTGGGAGGTCCAGGCTGCCTGGCCCGGAAGTGCCCCGTGGCCGCTGTGAAATACAGCACCACAACTTCCGCCAGTCCTTACTGTAAACTTCGGAAATGCATTTTGGCAATTCAACCCCGCGGGACGCTACGCCTACTGAGGCCCAGGGCGTTCTGGGAAATGTAGTTAGTAACACTCTCGCGACAGCTTCTAGGAACCGTGTGTGCCCGCCCACTGCGATGGCGTCACATGCTGTGCAAGACGCTGTGTGACGTCAAAGAGAAATAAGGAATCACAGAGGCCACGTGGTCTGGGGTGAGCAAGACCCTCTGAGCTTTACTGAGAAAAGAGGCAGCTCTTGGGAAATGCGGCCAGGTCAGAAATGGGCGAAGGTAGCGTGTCCTCCCGTGGAGCTGGTGTCTAGCAGAGCTGGATCCCTGGCCTGGAGGGTAGCTCGCAGCAGCCTAGAGGGGAGAGACAGACCTGGTCGGAGGGAAGAGAAGGGAGGATGGGGCAGACCGACGAGGGTGGATGGGACCTAGAGAGCCACCTAGACCTGGAGAGAAGGGCTGTGGACAGAGGAGGCAGAGACACACAGAAAGTGAGGTGCAGGACTGTGAAGGAACAGGAGCTCAGGAATAAAGGTCCGCGAAGACAGAATCGAGCTTGAGACCCCAGCCCTACAGAGCACGACAGCCTTAGGGTTAGGGTTAGCCCAGGAGAGGGGCCTGGGTGCTGCCTGGGGTGGGGGCCGCACCCAAGAGGCTGCACCAGAAGGCGGCGACCGTGGCAGAGCCGGTGACAGCGCCTGGCTCTGCGGGGTTCTCCCGGTGGGTGTGCACGGCGAAGTTCCTGCCTGTGGGCCCCGGAGGGCCTCTCAGCTCCACGTCCACCACGTGCATGTCCACGAGGCTGCGAAAAGCAGGGGTGAGGGGCTGGCCTGACCCCAGGCCTGACCCCGGTTCTGCTCTGCTCACCTGAGATCTGCCACAAGCACCCCGATCACGTTGTCAAAACCCAGGCTGGGCGCAGCTAGGGCGGCAGCTGCCATGGTGTTGGAGTTTCGAGGAGCAAAAGGGCAGAGCCCGCGGACAGGGCCTTCGTAGAGCACAGTGCGTGACCCAGCGCTGTGGGCTGAAGCTAGGGGTCCCTCCAGCCGGAAGCCATCTGGGTGTGTGGCCATGGTGACTCGCAGGCTCTGAAAGCAAGAGCTGGTCAGGGCGACTTGGGTCTTTGCGGGCTCCGTCTTGTCTGGGGGAGCCCAGCGGGTCCACACCTGGAGACCCCCAGCTGCATCCAATCTGGAGATATCCTCAGTCCCCCACAGGGCTCCTCGGGCCACAAACACGGCATGGCCCCAGCGGTGGGAGGCGTCCAGGAGCTGCTGCTCTGTGGTCTGGTTGGCCAAGGCTGATGGGGACCCCACCTGAGGTGCATGAAGAGAGGGAGGGAGGCAGAGAGGATTGGGGGAGGGGATAGACTGCTGCTTAGTACAGAACAGGACCAAGACAAAGGTTTTGGGTTGGGGGGGCTCACCAGCAGGTTGGCATGGTGCAGGATGTGTGCCCCAGATTCGTGGATTATTTTGGGATGGGCCACTTCTACCACCAGATCAGGGTGCCTGGGAGAGGGGAGAGATGGGGGAGGGTCTGGGAAGGGAATTAGGCCTTCCCTCCCCCAGGCTCTCCCACAGTAGGGGAGCCCAGGCCCACCCCATTTCACATTGGGGTGGAACTAGGCATCGAACAGGTTTGCCTGCTACTAGACCGCAGCTCAGGGAGGCTCCCGCGCAGTGGCCACTGACCTTTCCCCAAGGGCAGAGAGGTCGTGGAGCTGCAGGGCTGGGGGCACGCTCCCTGCCATGCGGGCTGGGTCGCGGTTCCAAACAAAGACAAGCTCAAGGCCCAGTCCAGATCCCTGAGCCAGCAGGCGGGAGACGAGGGACTGTCCTGCCGGAGGGGACAGAGGGCTCCAAAACCAGAGGAAAGAGAGTGGGAGGGTAGGGACCAGGGTGGGGGACACAGATCCAGAGAGTGGGGGACAGAGGGACAGAAAGGTCGAAATGGGGGAGCAGAATGGGAGAAGAACAGGAGCCCAGGGGAGGGACAGGACAGAGCTCTAAGGACAGACAGATCCAGATGAAAGGACATAGGATGCAGGGTCACAGAGCAGAGAGGGGGAGTGGGGAGGCTGGGCAGGGTAGGCTCTCCCATGGCTGATATCCAGGTAGGCGACATAGATGAGAGGCACTGCATAGAGCTGGACTTCTGGGGCTTGGGGAGGGGGCCTGCAGAAGGGGGCCGTGATGGCCAAGGACTCACCAAGGCGGCCATAGCCCACCACTCCCACCTTCCTCGGGACCCTATGGGGGGCCATGCCCTTGGGGGCGCTGATAGCCTGCAGCTGGGCCTACCAGGCTGCTGCTGCCTGCTCTGCAGGCTAGATAGCTGCTGATCTTTGGACGTTTGACCTTTGTCCTGCCTGAACCTCTCCCGTGTCCACAGCAGCCAGGGGTGGCAGTGGGTTTGCCCCCAGTCCTCTGGGCAGAGCCATGGTGACTTGGGGCTTGGCCAGGCTGTGTGGCCCTGGCCTCTCCTTCCTCTGCAACACACAGCTTGCTCCTGCCAGTGTGGAAAATTCCCTCCGCAGCCCCCCCCTTTCCGCTCCCGCCCCCTTTTCTGGCCAGCCACGTTGCCATGGAAACTATAAGTTGCTTGGTGTGAGGAGAGGAGCCAGTGACATGGACTCTGGGCCCCCAGCCTGTCCCCTTGTTCTAGGTCTCTGAGCCTTCTGTTCCACCATGCTCTCATGCTCTGCAGGTGGCCAGGGAAGAGAAAGCTGCAGCCTCCGTCTGTCCAGCTCTCCCCCAGGCAGCTGTGCCTGCCATGGTGGGTCCCATGGGTTTGAGTCCCCCAGTCACATGGAGGGGGTGCTCTTTGTACCCCTCAGCCTGAGCTAGAAGCCCTTTCCTCAGATCTGATGCTCCTTTAGTTCACCTTGACACCCCCCCCTGCACCCCCCCTGCAGCGATGCATGGGGAATGGGCAAGGTGGATCCTTGCTCTCCCTCCACCCCACCCCCCCAGCCTATAGCGGTGCAGTGCAGCCTGGGGAGTCCCTGAGTGCTCTCAGGAGGAGCCTGGCCACTGCACTGGTGGGCCTGGCACGGAGATGCGGTGCCCGGCTCCCTGCCCCCGCTGCCACCTGGTACCGCTGCAGTGTTGCTGTGGCAACCAGGATCTGCGCAGCCTGGGCCAAGAATGATGGGGCAGGCATGGATGCCAGGCCCTTGTCGTTGGCCAGGCAGAGAGGGGACAGAGCATCGGATAGGGCCATGGCTGTCCCAGGGTGGGGCGGGTGCTGTACTGAGCCCAAATAAGGAAAGAATTCTGACAACCCGAGGTGGTGGCAGAGAAGGTGCTGGGGGTGAAGAGGTGGCTAGGGAAGAGGGCAGGGTTGGGGCACTCAAGGCACACTCAAGGTGAGGTGGTGGCTTCTGCCAGGGTCTCCAGAGTCTCCCACCGTGTCTAGTGCATCCTTGTGATACCTGCACATCTGGCAGTGACAGTGGGGAAGGGGCAGCTCCCTGAGGCTGAATCCTGGAGACTGTGGACCCCACAGAGCCACATATTCCCGCCGCCAACTCCTGGGCTCTGAGCCACCCTGCCCTCCACCCCACTGTGTTCCCCAGAGGCATCTGCAGTAGGACAGGTGCTATGGGTAGGTTGGGCTGTGACAGGGTTGTGTCACCCAGAAAGAGCGTCTGGACGCCCTGACCTCCCTCCACTCCCCATACGTGGCTGCAGGGACAGCGGGTGTCTGCAGGTGGCTCAAGGCTGCAGGAGCGACAGTGGGGTGAGGGATGGGGGGCAGCTCGGAGTCCACCGCAACGGTGGCCCTGTGAGGAGAGGGGGTGGGGCACGCTACAGAGGCAAGTGACCACAGACACAGGGAGGCTGTCCTAAAGAAGGAACCTTCTCCTCTGGACTTCAGAGAGGGCGTGGTCTTGTGTCACTTGGATCTTGGACAGCCACCTCCAGAAGGGTGACAGTACATTCCTGTCATACTATGCCACACAGACTGGTACTTGCAGCCCTCAGGGCCCCCTGGCATTGCTGTGATGTGCAGGATTGTGTATGTATGTGAATCTCTAGGACTGAACTCTAAAGGGCAACCTTGGACAGGAAGAGGACGAAAGAGCCTGCACGGGGAGACCCAGAAGGCTCTGCAGTGAAAGAGGTGGAGCCTGGGGTGAGGGACGTGGCCTAACCTCGGTGGGGGCGGCCCTGGGCGGGGCCTGTGAGGTTTGGGCCTTTCAGCATCCTCCCACTTCTGTCCCCACCCCATCCACTTTGGTTTTTGTATCCTTTCTGTTTTCATGACCCCCCCAAAACAAATTTTTTTTTCATGTTTTTTTTTTTTAAAGTAATTACAGAGCAGGTAGTCGTTGACGCAAACCTCCCTTCAGTATCAAAAGAGTCTGTGGGGAAGGGGAGCCGAGTGCGGGGGTCGCCGGCACCCCAGCTGCAGGTCAGGGGGGAGTAGCGCGCGCGGCGCTGGGGACAGCCGGGGTCGAGGGCTGGGGATGAGGGCTCCGGCGACGACGCGCGTGTGTCTCTGGGGTTTTCAGGGTCGAGGGTTTGGGAGGGAGGGGCAGGCGTCAGACCGCAAAAAATGAACCGTAAAAGGAGGGCTGTTGGATGTGAGGGGAAAGGGCACCCCTCGGAAAAGCTCCTCTCCCCTGGAAGGCGGCGGGCGAGTGGCCGGGGGGCGGGGTCGGTGCGTGGGGAGGGCCAGCGGGAGGCGCGGGTCGCGGCTGTTGCTCCCGGGTCCCGTGTCCCCTCTGGGTCCCTGGGCACGCGTGGGGCGGGCAGGGACCACGAGGCATCGCCTCCGCCGCCGCCGCCGGGAGCGCGTTCTGTCCCCGCGGGTCCCCTGCCCGCGCCCCGCGTACACGCACGCCCTCTGGGCTCAGATCTGCGTCTCTTGCACGTTCTCCTTGGAGCCGCTCTTGAAGAGCAGAGGTTCGTGGATGGAGTTGAGGCCGGCCGGGCCTTTGCCCCCGCAGCCCCCGCCGCCCGCCGCGCCTCCGCCGCCGTAGTGCGCCTTGAAGGCGGCCGCCACGTAGTGGTGGTGGTTGAGGTGGTCGCGCTCCAGGGCCGGCAGTGCCAGGTGGCTGTCGCCGCCCACACCCGCGCCTCCGGCCACAGCGGCGGCGGCGGCCACAGACACGGCTGAGGCGGCGGGCAGCTCGTCCTCTACATTGATGATCTCCACGGTGCGCGTGGGCCCGTGATGCTTGTGCATCTGGTGCTGCTTGCGCAGCTTGTAGAAGGCCACAAGCATCACAGCGGCCATGAACGTGATGGCCACAAAGCAGCCGATGATGATCTTGGTGGTCTTCATCACGTCGTCCAGGTCCTTGAGGGCGTTCTCCGTCACGTCCGTGATGGGCACCGTGAACGCCTTCTCTGTGGGCCTGGAGGAGCGCGGCGCGGGTGCCGTGGTGGAGGACGAGGCCGGGCCCGCCGCGTCACCGGGCCGACCCCCGCCCCAGGCGCCGTCCGTGGTGGGCCCCGGGGGCTCCTTCTCTGTCCCGCGCGGCTGCAGCGCCTCCTCACCGGGCTGCGTCTCCAGCGTCTCCACGGTCACCGTGGTGAAGTAGGTGTAGCCGCCGCCACCGCCGCTGCCCCCTGTGACGACGCCGCCCGCACCGCCCCCCGGGGCTCCGCCACCCCCGGCTGCCACAGGATCCACGGCCGAGACGTTGAGCGTGGCGGAGGCAGTGGTGTTGCCGGCCGAGTTCGTCACCATGCACGTGTACTGGCCGGTGTCCTGCACGGTGACGTTGGTGAAGTTGAGCGTGCCGTCGTGCAACACGGAGATGCGCACGCGGTACGAGCCGTGCGTCATGAGCGTGCCGTTAGGCGTCAGCCAGTTCACCGAAGTCATGGAGGTGCCGGTGCGGCACTTGAGCTCGGCCGCCATGCCCTCAGTGACGTTGAGGTCCGTGGGCGGCTCCACAATGACCGGTGCGTAGCAGGTGAAATGCGACTGGTCGAGCTCACCGATGTAGCGGCCCTTGAGCCCCGCGGGCGCGTGACAGCGCGCACAGCAGGTGGTGTTGCTGGGCACTGTCTCCTTGAGCCACCAGCTCAGCCAGAGGACGTCACAGTTGCAGTGCCAAGGGTTGTGGTTCAGGTGCACACGCTCGAGGCGGTGCAGAGGCGTGAAGAGGTCGTGGGGCAGCGACATCAGGTTGTTGTGGGACAGGTTGAGCTCCTCCAGCGATTTGAGGTCGTCGAAGGCGTTGCGCTCGATGGTGGCCACCTGCGCATGCATGAGCCACAGCTTCCGCAGGCTGGTGAGGCCCTGAAAGGAGCCCGGGCGGATCAGGTCCAGCCGGTTGCCCGACAGCTCCAGCTCCTCCAGGCGCACAAGGGCCGTCAGGTTGGGGATATCCTTGAGGTTGCACATGCCCAGGTTGAGGTAGCGCAGGTTGACCAGCCCCTCGAAGGCCGCCTCCGAGATGTACTCCAGCCGCTTGAGCTCGCCCAGGTCGAGACGGCGCAGCGAGGGCACGCGGTTGAAGGCGTAGGAGGGGATGCTCTCGATGGGGTTGTTGCGGAGCCAGAGCTCCCGCAGCTTGGACAGGTACTCGAAGGCCTGCGTGGGCACCGTGGTCAGCCGGTTGTCAAAGAGCTCCAGCGTGTTCAGGCTGGGCAGCCCATTGAAGGCGCCCACCTCGATCTTGCGTACCAGGTTCTTGCTCAGCTGCAGGATCTCCAGGTGCCGCAGGTGCTTGAACGTGTCCGTGCGGATCACCTGGGGCAGGGGGACAGGGGTCAGTAAGGCGGGCAGTCATGGTGGCCAGGGTGTGATACGGGGGATGGCAGGAGCTTGGAATGGAATGGCTACTTTGGAAAAAATAATCTGATAGCTGCTTACTTGGAGTGGTAGCATATGTGTGCCTGCATTCCCAACACTTGGGAGGCTGAGGCAGAAGGATCTTGAGTTTGAAGGTAGTGTAATGACATAGTGAGTTCAAAGCCGGCTTGCACTGTCTATGGAGACCTTGTCTCAAAAAAAGAAAAGGGGGAAAAAAAAAACCCTACCAAACTAACAACTAGAGCTGCCACACACTGGCCATCACCTTCCTGGGTGCGTCCTCAAGAGTAACAGGACAGCTGACACGTGGGTGTTCACAGAAGTCCTGTTCATCACAGCCTAGAGGGAAGCCACCCAAATGTTCACCAATGGGGAATGGACAGCCGCCTGCGGGAAGGGAGGGGCCGCTGGGCCGCCCACCTCGGGGCTCCCTGGGAGTGCTGTGTGGAAGGGGACCTGACAGAGGGAGCCCCTGCGGGGAGGGGGGTAAGGCCCCCCCCGCTCCAGATGTTCCCAGCGGGTGTTTCCGGTGTGTGTGTGTGTGGGGGGCTTTTGAAGGAATAGGAGGGGGCGTAGGGGAGATGGTGACTGGAATTTGTGTATTGAGGTGGTGGTTGCATGGGTGAATGGAGCTGTCAAAACTTGCCAACTATATGCTTAAAATGGGGGCATTTTATATGTAAATTCTATCTATATTTTAAAAAAGGACAAAGAATAATAATACCAGCAGCTAAATCCATTAGTA